GGCAGCACCTCCAGCTCCAACACCCCCGGAGTCCAGAGTAACCTGTCGCGGAAGTGCCGAAGGCTGCTGAGGGGACTGTGAGGAGGACTGCGGGGACTGTGAGGAGGACTGCGGGGAGGGAGACGCTACTTGACGCGCGACCGAGGGTAGAGGGGTAGCGTGAGACACCCCTGACGGGCAGGACCAGGGGGGGGCGGGGGTACCGGAGGAGCGGGAGTAGGAGGAGGAGAGGGTGCGAGGAAAAGGGGAGGAAGGGGAACCGGGAGACCTGGACAGGGGTAGCGAGCGTAGTAGAACACTGACTCGTCAAACCGGACGTCACGGGAGTCTAGGAACTGGTGGAGGGGTGGGTGGTAAAAGGCGTAGTCGAGAGAGTCCACCAGGAAACCAAGGAAGACATAGGGAATGGCGCGAGCCGAGATCTTGTCCGCAGAGGTGTCGCAGACAAGCGCAAGGCAGCCCCAAACACGAAAGGCCGACCCAACACCAGGCGACCCGGTCCAAAGACTGGTTGGTGAAGCCTCTGGCTGCGAGACATGCGGCTGGAGGTTCAGCTGGTGGGCGGCGTAGCGAACCTCATAGGGCCACAGAAAATGGGGCGTACGGGCAAAGATCATGGACGTGCGGGCGATGTCCATGATCAAGCCAATGCGGCGCTCAACAACCCCATTCTACTGTGGGGGCTCCAGAAGCGTCTAGGACTGTGAGATGCCCTGTTCGCCGCAGAATCCGGCAAGAATGCCGGAGCGAGACTCGCCCCCACGGTCGGATTGGAGACAGGATACACGACTTCCACGAGTGCCCCAAAGTGGCCAGAATCCACCGGATCAGCGTAGAAGTCACCTCATACTTCTTCGCGAGAGGAGGCACCGTGGTGTACCTGGAGTAGTTGTCGACAACCACCAGAAAGTAGCGCTCCCTCTCAAGTCCCTGCGTAGGGGCAGGGCCCCAGACGTCCAAGTGGAGAGTCTGGAAGGGAGCAGTGGCCGGATGAAGGGAGGAGGAGTGCGGAGTGGCGCACAGGCGGCTGGCGACGCAAGGAGTGCACGGCGGTGCAGGCGAGGGAGGGAGCGACGCAAAGACGCGCGGGAGACCTTAGACAAGACTGTGACTAGCCATGCTGCGGAGGTGGGGGATCGATGGGTGGCCGAGACGGTGGTGCCACAAGACGGTCGGGTGGGTGAAGGACCGACAGGAGCAAGATGCAGCAACCTGACAAGACGCAGCAACCTGACCAAACACAGCAACCTGACCGGACACAGCGACCTGAGGGGACGCAGCAACCTGAGTGGACGTAGCTACCCGGGAGTGCCCGGTGTGGAGGACGTAGAGACCGGAGTAGGGCTCCCTGGTGAACGTGGCCAAAACAGCACCGGTGACAGCGTCCGTACAGACCGCAGTCCTCCCACCCCCCACAAAGGTAATAGTGATCCCTCTGTCATGGAGGTATCCAACACCCACCAAGTTCCGAGTGAACGAGGGGATGTGGAGACCGCGCAGGACACCAGAGGGGACCACAGGGCACGGGAGGGTGGTGGAGCTGCGCGCAACGGCTGGTCCTGAGGAAGGATCAGCCAGAGCTACCGGAACAGGAGCAAGGAGCGGTGTGAGCGTCATGTGGTCGCGAAAGAAGCACTGAGACGCGCCAGAGTCCAGCATGAAGGACAGGGACGCCTCACCCGGAGGCGCACCTGGTCTGGTAGCTACACAAGCACCTAGAGCAGCAACACAAGCACCTAGACTAGAGAGGCACAAATCTACTCTAGCAACAGGCAAGGATCCTAATCTAGAAGCACGCGAGCACACAAATCCATCAGCACTATAGTCAACATCAACATACAAAGCATACTGACGAGCCTCATCCATAGTCAGATCAAATACAGGAATCTTACGAGCTAGCAGCTGTGCCTAGCGCGGGGTGCGCGCCTCAATACCGTAACGTGTACGGTAGAGGTCGTCGAGGCGGCGGAAGCACCGTAATGCAGAGTGGTCGTCGCGGCCGCAGACACAGGGACTGCCAGGTCCGGTGAGGCACCATAGGTCGCTGGGGCCGGAGTCGCGCTGAGGGGGGCGAGGGCCCCACCTGGTGGTACTGCTGCTGTGGCCAGTGCTCCCTGGTCCTCCAGGTCCCCACTGTGGCGGGGGGCCCCAGTGCTGCTGCGGACCCCACTGCAGTGGGGGCCCCCACGGCTGAACCTGCTGCGGCACCTGCCGCTGCTGTTGTCCCTGCAGCTGATGCTGTCCCTGCTGTGGCTGCTACTGCTGCTGAGTCCCCGCACCACCGCCGAGCGCCACACCTCAAGCTGGTGGGTCCGCCGGTCCAGAACCTCCAACAGAGCTCCCTCCTCCAGGCGGACCAGAACCGCCGCCGCCACCACTGCCCCTCCCATTACCACCTCCACCACCGCCACCTCCGCCACCGCCGCCACCCCCCTTCCCCCCCTTCTTGCCACCCTAGCCTCGTTTCTGCCAGTCAGCGGCAGAAACAGCTGCAGTCTCCTCAGAGATAGACACCGCAGTAGTGGCACGTGTAGCAGTGAAGGTGGGAAGCTGAGGGACAGCACACCCCTCAAAGAGACGAGGAGTGACTGCGTCAGTGGCAGAGGCAACAGAGAGGAGGTTACTCTCGATCTTCTCGAGAGTGCTCTCAAGAAGATCGTTCGTAAGCTCGGTGGGGTGCTTCTGGAGAAGCACATCACGGGCAGTGGAGAGGCGATCAGGGAGGCGAGTGACTAACCAGTGCACAGTGAGCCACATGGGAGGGGAGGCGACAAGAAGCTGAGCCGTAATGCAGGCCGCATGGTAGCTAGTGTCTAGGGAACGTAGGTGAGTGACCAGGTCTGAGACAGTCGCAAACGAGCCAAGGTCGGGGAACACAAACGGCACGAGGAGGCGGCTGAGGGAGGCGGAGGTAGGGGTGGAATAACGCGCAACAATAGCATCGTAACACCCCTTCGCAGTCTCCACCTGGGAGAAGTGGACGGCCTTGGCCGGAGGGAGGAGGTCCGTCAGCGCGAGAGCAGCCGCAGCATCACGAGAGTCCCAAACGTCCCGCACCAAGAAGAGGCGGTCGTAGTCCGCCTACTGCGCGGCAATGGGAGCGGGGTCAGCAGGCAGGGGGTCGGGACGCCGTAGGGCCTGGAGAGCGCCGGACGCGTGAGCGTACAGGGTGGCGCCGTCTTGGCGCTGACTGGTAAGGTGGCGCTGAGCCTGGCGAAGCCAGTTACTGAACTCGATCGGGCAGCCCTCCGCGTCGAAACGAAGGCGGCGAGAGGACTCCATAGTGGAGGCTAGGCTAGGAGCGGTCGGAAACCGGAGCAAGCGGAGCTAGGAGCGAGGAGCGAGAACTGCTGGGAGCGCCATGTGGACCTAGGCGAGGGACAGTCGGAGTACGGAGCAAGCTAGGCTAGGAGCGTGGAGTAGGGAGCTAACTGGTCCTAGAGCGCGCTACCATAGTGAGAGAGCGGCCTCCAGCCGCTGAAACGGAAACCAGGAGCAGTAGGAATGGTGTGGGCCCGAAGAAGGGTGGAGGAGAAGTGGCTAACTCTCGGGCAGAACGGGGCGGACTAGGGTAGCGAGGATGGTGGGGGGCGCGGCTAGTTGAGGAGGGGCGGGGGGATTGGTGAGGGTGTGGACGAGGGCGAGGGCAGGACGCGAGCTTAGGCGGCGCGGGCTAAGGCAGGGCGCGGGCTAAGGCGAGGGTGCTAGCAGGGCGCGGCCTGGACGAGGGCGCGGGCTAGGGCGCGTGACGGGCTGGCAAAAGGCGCGCGCGACGGGCCGGCAAAGGGCGCGCGCGACGGGCTGGCCTAGGGGCGCGCGACGGGCCGGCTAGGGCGCGCGCGACGGGCTGGCCTAGGGCGCGCGACGGGCTGGCCTAGGACGCGCGACGGGCTGGCCTAGGGCGCACGCGACGGGCTGGCTAGGACGCGCGACGGGATGGCCTAGGGCGCGCGACGGGCTGGCCTAGGGGCGCGCGACGGGCTGGGGAGGGCGCGCACGTGAGGGGAGGGTGCGGGCTAGGCGCGGAGGGTGCGGAGGGTGCAGTGGCGCGGGTTAGGCGCAGAGGCACGAAGGGTGCGGAGGCGTGGAGGCGCGAGCTAGGCGCGGAAGGTGCGGAGGGTGCACTAGGGGAAGGCGCGGAGGCGCGGAGGCGCGGGTGCGCGCTAGGCTAGGAATGGGCTAGGAACGGTCGAGAACGAACCTACTCGTGATACCATCTTAAGAGTAGCTAGCAACGGAATGTTTGCATTAGGGTTGAGAAGCAATACAAGTAGCAACCCTAATTGAGTTGTACTCCCTAGGGAATACCTCACTGCAGCCTATAACAATTATATGCATTTGACATCAAAGTGCATTATCGTATCCGTATGATGTGACGCAAAGTCTGGTGCAAATCATGGCAAAGACAGTTCAATGCGCTTGAGGTGCCTAAACATGACGTTCTTGAGTGAATCTGGCACTATATGACGGTTGCGACTACGCAACGAAGCTGGTGGCGGACGGGTAGTGTGCCCAATCCTTGCGGCCGTTGATGGGACATCTGAACGACTCATTTGCTGCTAGAAAGTAAGAGCTGTTTGTCTCTTTATGGGTGGACCTACAGCTCCAAGAGGGTGGATGCGGTAAACCTATGTGATTTATAGCATCTTTATTGTAATCTAAGTGCTTAAAGAGAGCATATGTGTACCTAAATAACCAGACTCAGTTGGCACTACCGCAGTCAATTCAACGCAAACGAGGTTGATTCCGGCACACCGTAATTTCTGCACTCGTGGATTTCAGCACCACACAACAGGAACACCAGTCTTCTGCAGACCCACACTCCGCACTCCACAGAGCCACCTCGGCGAATTCAGGGTGCAAAGTGAAGTCCGATAACTCCTGTGTCGCGCAATCGCTGTGGATGATTGTGTCCGCCAGTTGGAAACGTCGTCTATCTCGTGTTTTGATTTCCTCCGTGACATCGTAGCCGTTGGTTGGACATTTTTTACGTCGTAGCAATGGCGGCGTTGTTGGGTCTGGACGGCCTGTTCCTCGGCTTCGATAGCTCCACGCAGTGAGTTCAAGATCATTTGCGCTCGTTAGAGGCTTAGGGCATGTCCCGCACACGCGCGATCTAGGTAGACTCCACTCGCACCGCACTGAACCGCATTATCTAACTTTCGACGAGTCTGACTCGGCGTAGGACCTCGCTCCGATTCAACCCCACATCATTCCGTAACGCACTCCTAGACAAGTTCGCACTCCCAGCTGGGAGTAACGAACTTGTATGTTTTTTGAGAATTCTCGAAGGACCCTGCGAACAAGCTCGTCGCCAGTCACTCTTACCTGACTCCTCTCCTCGGGCCCTCTTACACTCATCTGCCTGTCCCCCGCCCCCTCCTTGTAATCACACCGTTTTCAGGTCACTCAAGGCCACAGCAATCGATTTATGCCTTCCCATCGTGGCGACCAATCATCCGTTAAGACTCTGACACTCCCCCCACATAAGCTCACCCTCAAAACGAGGTGACTTTGGAGTCTTCTCATCGTCGCGACCAAATCATCAATTATGACTCTGACAATCCCCCCACATAAACTCACCCTCAAATCCCTCCGAACCCCCCTTCCCCTCCCTACCTCCCCTCTAACCCTCCCCCCTCCCCAACCCTCCACCACCTCCACCCCCCCATTATAATCACACCGTTTTCAGGTCTCTCAAGGCCATGGTCGCTACCGAGTGACTCAAATTAACACTGACACTGCCCTCCCACACAACCTCACCTTGAAAACCCAACAACCCCCCTTTCCAGCCACTCTTCCCTTCCCCCTTCCCCCTCCCTAACCATCCTTCCCCCTCCACCCCCCGCTTCCCCCCTTATAGTCACGCCATCTCAGGTCTCTCAAGGCCACAGCCATCGATTCCTCGCTTCGCATCGTCGCCACCGAATCGCTCCAGTATGACACAACCCTCCCACACAACCTCACCCCTCCCTCCCTCGCTCCCCCATTCCCCCCACCCTTCCCCTTTCTTACAGGTCTCTCAAGGCCACAGCAATCGATTCCTCCCTTAGGATCGCCGCTACTGAATCACTCTGCCGATTAGGATCTCACATGCCCCTCCCGCACACACTCATCCACCGATCCCCCCTCCTCTCCCTTTATCCTCATGCACACACTGTTTGCAGGTCTCTCAAGGCCACAGCAATCGATTCCTCTCTTCGAATCGTCGCCACCGAATCACTCCAGTATGACACAACCCTCCCCCACTACCGAACCTCCGGAGGCGTGCACCGAGCCTCCGCCGAGCCTGATTCCCGAACCTCCTCGTCAGGCTCGGCGCTTAGAGTCACCGCACCACCGGCCATGTGGGTAGAAGCTTTTGATGTGATTCTAGCGAGGTTGAAAGAAGTGGATTTCCCATTTGATAAAGTGCGGGCAGTTTCCGGCAGCGGGCAGCAGCACGGGAGTGTTTATTGGCGGAGAGGATCCCGGGCACGGCTTAGAAACCTTCGTTCTGACCAGACTCTTTTTGCTCAGTTATGTGGGGATGAGAGAAACAGGGAAAGGGAAAACAGCGGGATTCAGAAGCAAGGGTCGCACTCAAAGGGGTTCAGCTCAAATGATTCAGTACAAGGTGATTCGTTTCAAGGCAATGCATCATTGCAGCAGAGTGCATTTTCGATATTAGATTCCCCTATCTGGATGGACAGCTGCACAGCAGCCCAGTGTAGGGAAATCGAATCAGCTCTTGGCGGACCTGCAGCTTTGGCTCGGCTGACAGGCTCCCGAGCCTACGAGCGGTTCACCGGGCCTCAGGTTCGGCGGGTGTGGCAGCATCAGGCTCGGGAGTATGATGTCACCGAGAGGATTTCGCTAGTGAGCTCGTTTGGCGCGTCGCTATTGGTCGGGGATTACGCTCCCATTGATGCTGCTGACGGCGCTGGGATGAATCTGATGGATCTGCGGACGAGAGAGTGGGCTGACGTGGCACTCGAGGTGAGCTGACGTGGCACTCGAGGTGAGCTGACGTGGCACTCGAGGTGAGGCACAAGTGGTTAGTCAAATTGCTGCAACAATGTCATATAGGAATTATCCAATTTATCATTATATGCGATAGAGATATTGCTGTTGACACATTGCCATGATGCTGGCCCTATTCTAAGCCACCATCTGTCGATTTGCTATTGTGCATTGCAGTTGATTTGCCAGTGTTATTTCTCATCTGCCCGTTTTCCAATAGCATGCCTCCCAGCAAGTATTCCTCATCACACCTTGCCTTCTACTGCGTTCTTTTTTCGTGCCTTGCAAAGCTTTTCGTCCAGACCTTGATCGCATGTCTGCTTGCCCACCCCTCTCCCACCCCTACCCGCCCTGCCCCTCCCGACCGAGCCTGACAGGCCACTGCGCCGAACCTGCGAGAGAGGCTCGGCGAGGTGGTTCCGTCCCACCAAGTGGTTGGCAATGTGCATCAATACTATGTTGACAGGTGTGTGCGTGGACTGTGTGTGCACTGCCCTTGAGGCTGCATGTATGCATTCATGCTTGCATGCACTGTCTTTGAGGCTGCTCTCTAACCTTGAAATGGATATCCTGCGCCTAGCAAGTGGCCAAGTCGTGGCATGGTCTGGCCGGCGAGATTCAGACATGTCTCAGTGAGCTGCGTGCGTGCAGTAGGCTTAAAGCAAAGGAAAAACAGCGGTAGATTTCCGCTCTGTGTAAAACTAAGTGCTCAAAACGATCTCAGAACCCAAATTCTTAGCAGTAGAGTAAAACAGGGACAAACATGTTTCGGCCTATCACGGGGAAAAACCTGATCAGACCTTCATCAGTGCCAACAATGAGAAAGAAGGGCTAAGCAATGCCTCTAAAGAGAAACAAAGCCTCTGAGAAAGCGAACTCTAGGCTATCCACACCCAGTTCACCCAAATGAAGGGGACCAATCCAGACCGCCCTTGAAAACTTCAGGCAGCCACGTCTTCAACTTCCTCGAAAGTGTCAGCGTGAAGGGTTGGGTTCAGATTTTTGCCAGAGGGCAACTTCGGAAGTCGCGCGCGCACCAGTAACCGCTGCAGGTTACAACCAATTTTCCACGCAACAAACATTCTCTCCACATACAATCCGCGTGTGATGAGTCGATTTTTTAGTCGACTCAAAAATCGACTCATCCTGCCCCTAGCAAGTGGCCAAGTCGTGGCATGGTCTGGCTGGCGACAAACATTAGGGCTCAGTAACTGCTGATCGCCTCCTGTTCCCCGTCCCCGACACTAGGGTTGAACACGGCCGGCCCGTCCCTGACACAGCTCCCTCCTCTCTGCAGGTTTGGCTTTTTGCCAAGCTGCCAAGTCGTGGCATGGTCAGGGGACAACCCTTGAGGCACCTCAAACCTCCTGAATTCTTCCTCTTCCCCTCTTCCTCCCTCTGCTCTGCGTCCCTTCTTTCTCTCCAGGTTTGGATTTTTGCCAAGCTGCCAACTCGTGGCATGGTCAGGGGACAACCCTTGAATCTCCGCAACCCCCAATCCTCGTCACGTATCTCCTCCCTTTTCCACCCCCATTCCTCCCCTCCCCCTTTTGCTTCTCTTCTCTCTCTCCAGGTTTGGCTTCTCTCCAAGCTGCCAGGTCGTGGCATGGTCAGGGGACAACCCGTGCAGCCTTGCAGGTAGGATGCATGCAATGCACCCACTTGTACCCACTTGCACCCACTTGCACCCACTTGCACCCTATTCACCATTCTGACTCTTGCTTGCCACTTAGTTTCTGGTGTGATATGAAAGGCAAGGCTGTTTGTTTTCAAACCTAATGCCCGTCCGGACCACATGCCTCCTGCCATGCCTGCCTCGCAGGTTTGGCGCTGGGAGGTTCGGGCGATGTGGGCATCAGCCTCGGAACGAGTGACACTGTGAGTGAGAATGGATCATGGATGTATGGATGTATGGCAAATGCTCTCCATATTTTATCATTCTCAAAAATAATACAAGTACTGAGTCTTCCTCTCCCACACGAGTGTAAGGTTAATTAGTTACGCTTAATCCTGTGTCAGGTTTTTTCTCCTCTAGGCTTGGAGGGTCATGTCTTTGCCATCACATCCCATCCCTTCCCACCCCTTCCCATCCTAACCAGGTGTTTGCAGTGGTGATGGATTCTCAACCTGGCTTGGAGATTTATGTCCTTGCCATCCCCATCCCATCCCATCCCATCCCATCCCACCCCTTCCCACCTCTTCCCATCCCATCCCAACCAGGTGTTTGCAGTGGTGATGGACCCCCAACCGGGCTTGGAGGGCCACGTGTTTCCCAACCAGGTGTTTGCAGTGGTGTTAGACCCTCAGCCAGGTCTGGAGAGTCATGTCTTTGCCATCCCATCCCACCCCACCCGACTACACCCCATTCCTCCCCTTCCCATCCCTTCCCATCCCATCCCAACCAGGTGTTTGCAGTGGTGATGGACCCCCAACTGGGCTTGGAGGGCCATGTGCTTAACCCCCTACTGCCACTCCAATCGCATCCCATCCCATCCCATCCCATCCCATCCCATCCCATCCCATCCCATCCCATCCCATCCCATCACCCCCCTTCCCACCTCTTCCCATCCCATCCCAACCAGGTCTTTGCAGTGGTGTTAGACCCTCAGCCAGGTCTGGAGGGCCATGTGTTTAACCCTCTACTGCCACTCCAATCGCATACCATCCCATCCCATGACCCCCCTTCCCACCTCTTCATCCATCCCAACCAGGTCTTTGCAGTGGTGTTAGACCCTCAGCCCGGGCTAGAGGGCCACGTGTTTCCCAACCCTGTGGATCCATCCTCGTTTATGGCCATGATCTGTTATAAGAACGGATCACTCACTCGACAAGGTACCGGCTTTCTCACTGTGTAGCACCAAATGCTTGCAAGCGGTTGATTATCTGTTCTGGGTGGTTGAGCCTTCTGCTGGTGCGACTATTCACGTGCATATGTAATTTCTCTGACCTTGCGTGTGATTTTATTGAAGCGTGTGTTAATCCCATCATCCATTCCTCCCACCATCCCACCACCACCAGCCATCAGGGACCGCTGTGCAGGAGGGTCGTGGGACGCATTCTGCCAGCTGCTGAATGAAGCTCGGTTGTGTGGGTGTGTGGGTGTATGCCTATGTCTGTGTGTGAAGGCGCCTGGTGGTCTGACTTACTTGCGTGTGCAATGCTCCCATCCCACCATCCCACCATCCCACCACCACCAGCCATCAGGGACCGCTGTGCAGGAGGGTCGTGGGACGCATTCTGCCAGCTGCTGAATGAAGCTCGGTTGTGTGGGTGTGTGGGTGTATGCCTATGTCTGTGTGTGAAGGCGCCTGGTGGTCTGACTTACTTGCGTGTGCAATGCTCCCATCCCACCATCCCACCACCACCAGCCATCAGGGACCGCTGTGCAGGAGGGTCATGGGAGGCATTCTGCCAGCTGCTGAATGAAGCTAATGTGTGTGTATGTCTATTTGTGAAGGCGCCTGGTGGACTGACACACTTGCCTGGGCAATTATCCCATCCCACCATCCCACCATCACCCCCCCATGCCCGCCACCAGCCATCAGGGACCGCTGTGCAGGAGGGTCGTGGGAGGCATTCTGCCAGCTGCTGAATGAAGCTAGCTAGTGTGTGTGGGTGTGTGGTTTATCTATGTCTGTGCGTGAAGGCACCTGGTGGTGGTCTGACTGACTCACTCGACTCGTGTGTGTGATATTCCCACCATCCCACCGCCACCAGCCATCAGGGACCGCTGTGCAGGAGGGTCGTGGGACGCATTCTGCCAGCTGCTGAATGAGGCTCCTGCTTTGAATGGTGAGTGCCAGTGCTGCATACATGGTCTAGCTGGTGTGGCTGCATGGGGGAGCGTGGTGTGAGATTGGAGGGTTTGCAGTGCAGGAGGGTCGTGGGACGCATTCTCACACACACAGTTGAATGAGGCTCACACGTTCTCAAATCGGCTCACACGTTCTCAAATCGGCTCACACCAGCCGATTTTCTCTCCTCCTCACCTCCTTACCTAACGTGACCTCCTAACCTGCACTCTCACCTGATTTCCTGACCCCCTCACTTGTCAGTTCTTACAACGCCTGGGAATGTGCTGGCCTGGGATTGTGCTATGTCAAGAAAGAGTGTTTTTGAGACGTCTCAAAAAGACTCTTTCTTCACGTGGCTGGGAATGTGCTGGTTTGGGGTTCCACTATCCACCATTGTCACCCAGATGTCATCCCGCTTCCTCGCCTCCTCACCTCCTCACCTCCGTACGTCCTCACTTCCTCACTCCACTTTTTGTCCTCGCTTTTAACGTCTGGGCAGGTGGGCGCATGGGCTTTTATTATCTTGACCCTGAGATCATCCCTCCACTACCAGGTGTGTAGGTAAACAGTTTACTACTTTCTCAGTTACTCACACTCCTTCTGGCAGGTGGGTGCGTGGGCAGATGGGAGGGCAGGTGGGCGCATGGGGTTCTACTATCTCGACCCAGAGATCATCCCACCACTGCCTGGTAAGTTGGTTAATAAGTTATGATTTTTTTAGGTACTCACATCCCGTCTGTTCAGGGGGGCGCATGGGCTCCTACACTGGGCAGGTGGGAGCATGGGCAGGTGGGAGCATGGGCAGGTGGGAGCATGGGCAGGTGGGAGCATGGGCAGGTGGGAGCATGGGCAGGTGGGGGCATGGGCAGGTGGGAGCATGGGCACTCTTGCGTGCATCGGGTGCCATCTCAATTCTTGGTAACCCTTACGAATGAGTGGGTCGCTCGATCGTTGACTTTGGTTTCTTATTGCTCCTGTGCCCCAATCACAGAATGAAGACCCATTGCTTTTCAGCAAGGGAGGGTGCATTCAAGCGACCCACTCACAGCTGAACCAGCTCTCGAAAGCGATCCTCTCGCTGCTTATAGGCTGTTTATCTATCCAATCGCCCCTGTGTCCCAATGTTACAGTGGGGACCCATCACTTTTCACCAAGCAAGGGGCTGGCTGTAGGCGACCCAATCACTCGCCTCTCGTTTTGAGATGTCTCAAAAATCACCTATACTATCGCCCCTGCGTCCCAATGTTGCAGTGGGAACCCATCGCTTTTCACCAAGGGAGGGTGCGGCCGTAGGCGACCCGCTCACTCGCATCTCCCCTGCCCAAACCTTTGAACCGCCACAAGAGGTAAGCTTGCTTGCATTAGGATGCTTGCTTGCTCCACATGAAAATGCTTTGAAAGAGCCTCCTACTGATTCTCCTACTTGCTAATCCTTCTCCTTACTCACCTCACTTGCCTCGCCTCTCGCCTGACCAAACCTTTGAACCGCCACAAGAGGTAAGCTTGCTTACACATAGGTAGTTACTTTCGGAGTTTCTTTAAAGAGGTAGCCCTGCTTGCACTGCACAGGGATAGCAGAGCGGCGGCTAGTGAAGCAAGTGCCGTTTTATGCTTGCCTCTTTGCATAATCTTTCCTCTTTGTTCTCTGGTTTCTCAGTTCTCTCTTGTTGTTCCGTTGGAGTGACTTTTGAGAATTCTCAAAAGTTCTCTCTTGTTGTTCCATACATACGCAGCGCGCTCTTTTCACAGGTCTAACGCAAGTAGAGGGAGATCTGGAAAATAATATGATCCGGAAAACAATATGATCCGGAAAACAATATGATCCGGAAAATAATATGATCCGGAAAATAATATGATCCAGAAAATAATATGATCCGGAAAATAATATGATCCGGAAAATAATATGATCCGGAAAATAATATGCTTCGTTCACCTTTGCCTTTTCTCCCTGCTCTTGACCGTCACTCACAGACTCGAAATCAACAAGAGGGGAAATTTAGCTGCAACGACGAGTTTTGAGGACTTTTGAGGCGCCTCAAAAGAGGCGGAGGAATTTGACCTGCAAATCTCCTCTCTCTTCCCATTCCCATCTCACCTCTCCTCCTTTCTCATTTCTCCCATTCCTCTCGTGTCTTGAAATTCTCATTCCCCTCATTTCTCACTCCTACTCAAAGATCAGGGTAGTGGTGGAAGGGCAGTTGGTGTCCGTGAGGGGGCATGCGGAGAGAATCGGGCTGCAAAGCCTACACTCTCTGCTCCTCTATGTTTTCACTGATCATCCTTCACTTTCTGTCACTCACAGATCAGGGCATTAGTGGAAGGACAGTTGGTGTCAATGAGAGGGCATGCGGAGAGAATCGGGCTGCAGAGCCCACCTGCCCGGATCATTGCCACGGGGGGCGGCTCAGCCAATGAGGCGATCCTGCGCACCATGGCGAATGTTTTCGGCTGCCCAGTGTACACCTCATCATCCACAGGTAAATCAAACAAGTTGCGGCGTGAAAAATCTATCTGAACACAATAATAAGATGAATCAAGCACGCACATATAGATTTTTCACATATGAACCAACTTGCTGTAACCAACTCTTTCTGAGGTAATTCTCGTAATTGTTGTTTGCGTTACTCTTCCCCGTTCGTGACTGTAAATATGCCATTCTCGTTAGCAGATGAAGTCACCTCCTCCCCTTCACCCCTCCCGACTTCGCTCCGCGGGAGCAGCACTACGAGCAGCACTACGAGCAGCACTACGAGCAGCACTACGAGCAGCACTACGAGCAGCACTACGAGCAGCACTACGAGCAGCACTACGCGCAGCACTACGAGCAGCACTACGAGCAGCACTACGAGCAGCACTATGATCAGCACTACGAGCAGCACTACGAGCAGCACTACGAGCAGCACTACGAGCAGCACTACGAGCAGCACTACGAGCAGCACTACGAGCAGCACTACGAGCAGCACTACGAGCAGCACTACGAGCAGCACTACGAGCAGCACTATGATCAGCACTACGAGCAGCACTACGAGCAGCACTACGAGCAGCACGCAGCTTCCTCTCCCTTCCCATGCCACCCTCTCATCGCTCTGTTCCTCTGTATGCCCCCACCGTTCTTCCTCCCTCCCCGCTCCAGACGCTTCCTCGTTGGGAGCAGCACTGAGTGCAGCACACGGCTACATCTGCCTTCCTATGCCACCCTCTCGTCGCTCTTTCTCCCATATGCCCTTCAACCTGCCTCCCACCCTTCTTCCTCTCTCCCCTCCAGACTCCGCCTCGTTGGGAGCAGCACTGAGTGCAGCACACGGCACGGCTATTTTTGTCACACCCAAGGCTCCTTTTCAACTCTCCCGTATCTTCGCTCATTTCTCCTCGTCTTGCTCCTTCCCCTTCCATCTCCCCCTTTCCAGACTCGGCTTCATTGGGAGCAGCGCTGAGAGCAGCACACGGCTACGTTTGTCTCGCCCAAGGTTCCCTTCTCTTTACACGTTATCCCCTTTGTTTGCTTCCGTCCCTCCCATTCCCTCCCGTCTCCAGACTCCGCCTCGTTGGGTGCAGCACTGAGAGCAGCACACGGCTACCTCCGCCACGCCCAAAGTCCATCGTCTCTCTCCCCCCTCTCTCTGCTCATTCCGCTCCTCCTTGCTTCCTTCCTTCCTCTCCGTTCCCATCTCCTCCCATGTCTTTCCATCTCGTTCCCCCTCTTCCAGACTCTGCCTCGTTGGGAGCAGCACTGAGAGCAGCACACGGCTACCTCTGCCACACCCAAGGCTCCCTTCTCTTTACACGTTATCCCCCTTTTTGCTGCCTTCCCTCCCATTCCCTCCCGTCTCCAGACTCCGCTTCATTGGGAGCAGCGCTAAGAGCAGCACACGGCTACCTCTGCCACACCCAAGGCTCCTTTTCAACTCTCCTGTATCTTCACTCATTTCTCCTCTTCTTGCTCCTTCCCCTTCCATCCCCCCCTTTCCAGACTCTGCTTCACTGGGAGCAGCGCTAAGAGCAGCACACGGCTACCTCTGCCACACCCAAGGCTCCTTTCTCCCCTTCACATCCCTCCTGGCTCAAGCCGGTGCCAGCTCAGCAAGTGCCACCTCAACAAGTGCCACATCAGCAGGTGCCAGCTCAGCAGATGCCTCTGCAGAAGGTGCCACATCAGCAGACGCCCCTACCGCTGTTTCTCTCTCCGAAGCAATCCCCGCCGGATCCCCGGACCTTCACGCGAGGTACGGGGATATGGTGGCTCGGAGAATGGCTGTTGAGAAGCAGCTGTTGGAAGAAGCAAGAGAGTAATTTTCCAGGCACCTAGGTGTCTGGAATAGGAGCTCCTCCAGACGCCTATTCCCTAGGCTCCAGTAGCTTCTGGGGGATGGAAGAGGGCAAGTTCTCCAGGCACTTTCGAAATAAGAAGCAGCTGTTGGATGAAGCAGTTGGGCAAACTTCGATACGCGCTTCAAGCATTGAAGCGAGTGCGAGTCCCTGAGATGATATTCCAATCTATAGTTCAGACATGAACTGCCCAAGAATTCGAGGTGGTATTGCAATGAGAAATCTTCTGTCTCTGTCATGCAATTTTATCTCATTTGTTCAGAAGAAGGATTTGGTTTGATCCTGCTTTGAGCCTCCTGTCAGTGTACCTAAATTGGAATCTTGAGAATTTTTCTTTAAGGTAGTTCTCAAGATGAGCCTGACAGTTGGGACATCACTAGCAGGCCCTCAGATTCACGGCACGTAAGGGTATCAGGGTCCCTCTGGCCCTAGACCCTGATCGACAGGGTCGCCTAGGAAAAAAGCCTGAAAGTTCAGTGTTAAAAAAAAAGTCTGATGCATCAGTGTCACCTATAGAAAAAGGCTGATAGTAGTGAAGCTGATTTTTTAACTTAAAACTCTATGAAGGTCGCAAACAGCCTTCAATCTATCTATCTGTGTTGTAAACCAAAGCCTATCTTGCTTGCTAGCTAGCTATGCATTGCATCCAGCATGACTCTGGGTCTGGGTGAGTTCAGTAATCATCATCTGATGAGGCCTGCTTGTCATCATCATCTTCTCTTCCCTTAGCCTGTCGTTCTGCCCACTCTTCCTCCTCTAGGGCCTCCTTTCCCGTGCTATCCCTGCCCTCTCCCTCTCTTTCGGGTGGTGCCGCCACATTGCCGAATGGGCGGCGCTTCTTGTAGCTGCGCCAGATCTGCACCACCTCATCGTAGTTGGGCTCGTACTCGAGTAGAGACATGGTGACGAGGTCTTCGAGGCGGGCGTCCTTCAAGCTCCCCCGCTGCCACGATTTGATAACGTTTTGGCGTGAGAAGCCGCGCTCACACTCCACTGTGCTCAGCGGCAGCACGGCGACAGCCACCCAGAGACGCACCAGATTGGGGTAGCCAGTCGCCCAGTCGCTTGTCTTCAGCATTGCTGTTAGGCCTGCGTGGAAGCTCCGCTCGTTCTTCGGGGCACCTGCGAGGATGGGGCAGAAGGCCCGCAGCTCCTTGATCGCACGCCGCTTGTCGACCCCTGCCACATAATGCGGAAGGGAGAGAGAGAGGGGGTTTTTGAAAGGCTGGCAAGTGCGTAACCATACGTTGATGAAATGCAATGACACAATAAGACGGACAGCAACAGTGCGAGAGCGGGAATACCTGGAATGATGTAGTCCGTGTCCTGTGCCCTGAACAGCCTCACGAGAGACTCGAGCCACTCGAGACACTGCCTGTGGCGCTCTGCTCTCCCCAGCTCCCACTCGTCAGGCATGAACAGCCGCACTCCCACCAGGGAGTCCAGGTCCTGGAACCGTGTGCTGAGGTTTTGCACGAGCGTCTCGGCGAAGGTGGTGCAGAGATCGGCGCAGGCGTCGTGGGAGCCGAGGGTGGGTAGTCTTCGCTCGGCTTCTCGTGCAGCTCGAAGGTGTGTGTCGTGGGCCGCCCGTCCGAGTCGACTCCCTGCACCTTCACCTCGGGATTGCCCCCCTCAGGCCCGTGCTTCTTGATGAACGGGGAGAGGCGCGCGCTCACCCCGCCTCCAAAGTCGTCACCACAGTCGACGTAGCGGGACTCTAGGAATGAAATCGACCGGCGGATCTGCCCGTGGACACTTGCAATGTCCAGCTGTTAGGGGTCAACAGGGCGAACAGAGGATGGAGAGAAGGCCAAATCAGTGCAAAGCAGATTCTGCTTAAGCAGTACATCAAACAGTGACTCACAAACCGAAACAAGGCACACAATCCAGCAACGATAGTAACCAAGCTCACCTCACGCTGCTGGAATGCCCTGTTCAGCACATTGAGCTGCTCGAGGACGTCTGCAAGGAAGTATAGCAGAAAGTGAAACCTGTAGCTCGTGGCGAGCTCGTAGAGGGTGATGTCCCACTCATACAGCATCACGATCAGCGCGGGGAAGACCTCTACCGCGCGCAGAATGGCGTCACCGCGGGAGAGCCAGCGGACGTCGTGGATCCCTTGTAGCTCCAGGTTTGTTTTCGTGAACACCTCCTGCAGGCCAATGAAGCGTTGATGCCACGGGCCAGAACGCCCCAAATGCTCTGCCACTTGGCGGAGCAGGGAGTCCACCATGCCGAACTCGGGGAGTTGTTCAGCGGCGTCCTTTGCTGCGAGGGCCTCCCTGCATGCACACCAGCATTAAAACCGGCTCAAGGAGGGGTTAGCAGGGGATGCAGCAGGGACTGTATGGAAGCAGTAAACAGAAGATGAAAACTGACCTGTGGGCGATGCAGTGGCTCGAAACAAGATGCGGGATGCGGAGGCGAAGTCGAGCGACAAGGCCGTTGTGTTTCCCCATCATCACACTCGCTCCGTCAGTGCTTATGCCGGATATCCTCACCATTTCAATGCCTAGGGCCTGCAGGTGGGACAAGAGCACTGAGAGGAGAGAGGCTGCATCGCCCTTCTCCACGGTCAGCAGGGCAAGGAACTCAGTCACGGGACGATTTTCACGGATGAATGTCGCGAAAACAATCATATGCTTTCCCCGACACCTGTCCGTGCTTTCGTCGCACGTGACGCCAATGTATGGGCTGCTGAGGATGTGCTGCAGTTGCGTTGTGTGCAACCATGTGGCCATCGACTGTGTCAGCTGCCCGAAGCCGTAGCTGCAGCGCATGTCAAACAACACAACGTCAGATAATTCGGTTGAGTTTCACAAACACGGTTGCAGTTAGATTAATTCAACACTCACGTAGTATAATAGGTTCCGTAGCCTTTTGCTGGGAACCCGTGCACCTTGAGTCGCGCGAGGTAGCGCACAAGATTCACCCATAACTCTATGGGTGCATCTTGCTTGGTCACGAAGAGCAGGGAGTCGAGGAGCTTGACGACCCGCTCCTTCTCCGTGTCGCGAGCGAGATTGTCGCCGTTGATCCGTGGCTGCGTAGCGGCGTCGTCGAGAAGCTTCTGCTGGTGTTTCAACGCCTCCTTGTGCTTGGTAGTTGCCGCATGCCGTTTGAACGCCTGCGTCTGAACGTCTGTGGCGCCCTTTCCGCCTCTCCCACACGGTCCAGCGTAGCCTGCGTGCTCCGTGCAGATGCTGCACTTGAAAGCGGGGAAACCGTCAGCTTTTTTTAGCAGAATAAGCCAAGAAAACCGCTCGAGCCACTCGCTTTTGTACTTATACAGAGCCTCCGCGTAGGTTGCGTCTGGCCCTGCCGGTTTAGAAGGCCCAGGTGTTGAGGGCGACGCCTGCGTGCCTGCGGTCGCGGGCGTCGACAGTTGGTCGGCTGGCGAAGCCGGTGTTGCACCAGCGGGACCTCCCTTCTTGGGCCACGGCAGCGTTGACTGCGTGTACCTGGCGGACTTCTTAGCCACTGGCACCGCCGCGATTTCTTCACCTGAAGGGTTGGAGCTGTCTTGCTCCAACACGGGCGCAGTAGGGGAGGGACACAGAGGCTCGTCGATGGGTTCAAATGGAACATCGACGGTCGGCGCGACTGCAGGCGCCTTTCCATGGTTATCTACTGCCGCTAAGTTGGAGAATAGCAGATCCAGCCCGGTAACGGCCGCGGACAGATCAATTGGCGAACGACGAGCGGGTTCATCGCCGGGGTCATCAGGTCGTTCAATGGCGTCCGGGTGGTCCGCCATTGATTGCGCTGTGAACAAGCAGCATCTAACGGGACTCCCTAGCTAGCTGAACGATGGAGGTTTGCCAGGAAGAGAGGACACACGGCTGACTGCCTCTTGGTACACCAGGCAGCAACGCGATGAAACCTTACACATGCTAGATGGAAGGAAAGCATGGAGCAGACTGGGGTGGGAGACTGGATGGCTGGCAGCACGGCTGGGCGGCGTGGATGCATCCGTGCTTGCCAGCACGACTTAGACAAAACGGGCCAGAGGACCACAGATGCTTCACATGGGCCTGAATCCCTCGTTGCGCTGCCTGCCAGCATCGCTGTGCTGCAACCCTGTAATTGGCCAAATCAGGAAATGCTGTCAAAGTGGCCAATCATCGCACCACGCGCGCCAACAACGCATCCCTCTACGAGGCAAATTTGTCTGCTACTCACCGCCACGCCCTGCTGACACCGCGGGAATCTGATATTCCCTGTACAGCCGGGCAACTACACACGAACCGTGTAGGAATCGCTTTCAGGGTCGGATTCGTTACAACGTAGTGGAATCAGTGTCACTAAAAAAAATTTGCTGAAAGTTCAGAGTCATGTGCTAGGTGAAGGCTGAAAAATCAGCCCCACAAAAAGCTGAACACTGGAAAATCAGTGTAGGTTAAAAAAAAACCCTGGAAATCAGGAATTTCAGGGAAAAATTCCTGATATCGTAGGGCCTGATCACTAGTCTCTTGCAGCAACACAACATTGCTCAGTCCTATCCTAAGGTATGCCAACACTCACTTCACTCGCCCTCCAGGTATCGGAACCAGAATGGCCAAAGCATGCCGCCCTTTCAGTTCACCCCCAGAGCCCTCTGCACTGCTGTAAGGGTGTGCTGCAGCAGCACCACAGTGGTCATGGGCCCCACTCCCCCCTCACTGATGTAATCCACAGCATACCAGTGCCTGGAAGCCCAACACATACTGTATCTATAGCCTTATGAACTATTTCCCAGCGCTCTCTGCGTGGCTATAAGGGTGTGTTACAGCAGCACAGCGATGGTCATGGGCCCCACTCCCCCCGGCATGGGTGTGATACACCCGGCCACCTCCAATCTGATCACAGTCTTACTGCCTTCCACCCTAGCTAAAATCCGACCTAAGAACTAGCCCCCAATGCCCTCTGCGCTGCTGTGCGGGTGTGTTGCAGCAGCACAGCGATGGTCATGGGTCCCACTCCCTCCGGCACGGGGGTCATCTCCAGCCACCTCTAGTCTTGCTCAAGCCCTACTGTGTGTACTGTATGTCACTCCCTATGAACTAGCCCCAAAAGCCCTCTGTGCGGCTGTAAGAGTGTGCTGCAGCAGCACAGCGATGGTCATGGGCCCCACTCCTCCCGGCACGGGTGTGATCCACCCAGCCACCTCCCTGGCCCCCTCATAGTCCACATCCCCCACCAGCCGGTACCCCGCCTTCTTGCTCGCATCATCCACTGCATTGATCCCCACGTCGATCACTGCACACCCCCCCTTTAGCCAGTCACCCTTCACCTGTTTAGGGGGAAAAGAGCAGTGAGGAGAGGAAGAGGAGAGGGAAAAGCGGGAGAGGTAGCGAAGCAGCGAAAGAAACAGAAGCGGCAAGGGGGAGAAGAGAAGGTGAAGGTGAGGAGGTGAAGAGGGAGAAAGGATGGGAGGTTTGCACATGAGTAGGAAGAAGGGTGCTCTGGGCGGGCCTTCCTCACAGTGCACCATGCCACGATAGCACCTACCTCTTTACATGTTATCTCGCACTCCACCGCTCTCCACCGCACTGCTCATCCCACACTCACCATCTGGGCCTTCCCAATGGCAGCGGTCACGATATCCGCCTGCTTCACAATCTCCTTGGGCTCCTTGGTCCGCGAGTGCACTTCAGTAGTTACTCTGCTCATTACACGTTACCACACTCCAACGCACTCCAATGCACTCCACCGCACCTCACTGCACTGCACTCACCATCTGGGCCTTCCCAATGGCAGCAATAACGATGTCCGCCTGCTTCACAATCTCCTTGGGCTCCTTTGTCCGCGAGTGCACGATGGTAACCGTGGCGTCCCTCTCCACCAATAGCATCGCAGCAGGCATGCCCACAATGTTGCTGCGGCCAATCACCACCGCCCGCTGCCCGCTGATCTGCACGCCACTGCGCTCCAATAGAACCATGCAGCCCTGCAAAGAGAGGGGTGAAGGAGGAGAGGGTGGGGATGAGAGGGGGGGGAGGGGCGAGGGAGCAATAGTAGAGATGATGGCAGGGGAGAGGATGCAGGGAGAAAGAATCCAACCACATAAAATCATGAAAACCAAGTGTGTGTTCCCACCTCGGGAGTGCACGGGTTGAACTGCGGGTGATGCACTTCATTGTAGCATCCCACCACCCTCTCTCTATTCCCCTACACCCCTAAACTGTGGGTCGCCCCTTCATCAACGCTCTTCCAGTCATCCCCCTCCCCTCGCCCTCCATTCCCTGCACCTCACATTCCATTCCCCAAAACCCCTCCCAATCTCCCCAAAACCCTTTCCCCACCTCAGGAGTGCACGGGGCGAACTGCTGGTGGCAGCCCTACATTAATGCTTCCAGTCACCCCCTTCCCCTCGCCCGCTCTTGATTCACTGCACCCCACATCCCCATTCCCCCAGACCCCCTCCCATCTCCCATAACCCCTTCCCTACCTCGGGAGTGCACGGGGCGAACTGCGGGTGCCGCCCCTTCATCGCCAGCTGGCCGATGTTGATTGGATGGAAGCCGTCCACATCCTTGGGCAGTGCCACCTCAGCGAGAACCGCCTCCTCGCTGATGTGCGCTGGCAGGGGGAGTTGAACCAGAATGCCTGGTGATGGGGGAGTCATGGGAGGGGCGAGACATACGGAGGGCACAGAGGTTAGCTGGATGAATAAGGAGAGCAAAAGACAGTGGCAGCAGCGCCACGTCAGCAAGCACCGCCTCCTCGCTGATGTGCGCTGGCAGGGGCAGTTGAACCAGGATGCCTGGTGATGATGGGGGAATACAAGGGGACAGTCGGTTGAGGGGCATGGGAGGGGAAAAGGTACGATATCAATCAACTCATGGAAGCAGTGCCACCTCAGCGAGCACCGCCTCCTCGCTGATGTGCGCAGTTTTGAGGCGCCTCAAAACAGGAATAGGTACGATATCAACACATGGACGCAGTGCCACCTCAGCAAGCACCCTGCCTCCTTGCTGATGTGCGCTGGCAGCGGCAGCTGAACCAGAATGCCTGGTGTGATGGGGGGGTCATGGGATTGGAGCAGACAGAAGGATGCGTCGCAAGGGGCGCGCGCGTTGTAAGGACTTGCGGAGTTTATATGGTCATCGTAGCCAGCTGTATACGGACTAGCGAGTTTGTAACAGGGCGGTGGCCAACTGTGTAAGGACTAGGGACGGGACGGGGGAGATGGAAGCCGTCCACGTCCTTGGGCAGCGCCACGTCAGCGAGAACCGCCTCCTCACTGATGTGTGCTGGCAGGGGCAGCTGAACCGGAATGCCTGGTGATCAAGGGGGAGTGATGGGAGGGGCGAGGCATAAGGGGGGCACAGACACAGGACAGATGAATAAGCAGAGCGACAGGCAGTAACAGCAGCGCCACCTCAGCCAGCACGGCCTCCTCGCTGATGTGTGCTGGCAGGGGCAGCTGAACCGGAATGCCTGGTGATCAAGGGGGAGTGATGGGAGGGGCGAGGCATAAGGGGGGCACAGACACAGGACAGATGAATAAGCAGAGCGACAGGCAGTAACAGCAGCGCCACCTCAGCCAGCACGGCCTCCTCGCTGATGTGTGCTGGCAGGGGGAGTTGAACCAGAATGCCTGGTGGTCAAGGGGGAAGTCATGGGAGGGAGGGGCGAGGCATGGGATGAGCGAGGCATGGGATGAGCGAGGCATGGGAGGGGGACAGAAAGAAGTCAAATGGACAAGGAGTAGGGCAAGGCATAGGTAGCAGCGCAACCTCAGCCAGAACCGCCTCCTCGCTGATGTGTGCTGGCAGGGGGAGTTGAACCAGAATGCCTGGTGATGGGCGGAGCCATGGAAGGGAAAGGTATCATAGGGTCACAGACGGAAGATGGACGGGTAAGCGGTAAGGCCAGGCAATTTTGAGGCGCCTCAAAAGTCGGAAGATGGACGGGTAAACGGTAGGGCCTGGCAGTGCCAGCAGCGCCACCTCAGCAAACACCGCCTCCTCGCTGATGTGTGCTGGCAGGGGCAGCTGAACCAGAATTTCTGGTGCGAGCGAGAGAATACAGGGGGCATGTGAGGGGCAGGGACAGGGATAGGGGGTAAATGGATAAGGGGTAGCGAAAGATAGTGGCAGCAGCGCCACCTCAGCCAGCACCGCCTCCTCGTTGATGTGCGCTGGCAGGGGCAGCTGAACCAGAATGCCTGGTGATGGTGGGGAGGGAGAGTCGAGGTATGGGAGGGGCGAGGCAATGGGGGGGAGGCACGGGAGGAACACAGCCAGAAAACGAATGGAAGGGATGTGGATGCTTAACTTGACCTGGGGGGAGGGTGGGGTTACTCGAACCATGCACGTCCGCACCGCATCATGCACACGTCAGCACCTCATCATGCACACATCATGCACACGTCAGCACCTCACCATGCACGTCAGGATTGGCGTTGAACTCTCTGACTGCAGCAATGACGTCATCCTGGCTGGCATCGCCAGGAAGCTTCCCCTCGAACGACGCGATCCCCACCTCCTGGCACGCCTTCACCTTCATCCGCACGTACGTCTGCGAGTCCTTGCGCTCCCCCACTATAATCACAGCTAACCCTGGGACCTGTGGCAGGGATTGGGTAGAAGCAGGAAGTGATTTGGTTCGGCAATTTCCATTTTCATGGCGCACCTTTCATTTCACCTCAACTCGCGACACAAGTTAATAGTAGGTAGAAGTCACGATGGGTAGAGCGGGAGGGAGGTAGAACGGATGGTAGGTAGAACGTAGTCCTGCAAATATATACCGGCGATGCGCTACAGAACAGCCACAATGTAGGCTGTTTTGAAACAAGGCCCTCACCTTCCCAGTGGCCTCTTTTAGTTTGGCTACCCCCTCAGCCACCTCGCCATGGATCTGCTTCGCGATGGCCTTGCCGTCGATGATCTTCGCCACGGACTTGCCTTCCTCCGCCATTTCTTAGATGTATGCCGTACTAAGCTCTGCTGGTCAGAGGCTAGTAAGAGCTAGGAAAATGACGACGAGAAAAACTTGAAAAGCTGCAATATGAGCGATCAGGAAGCCGAGCAATGTCTGATGATTGGATTCAGGAATTTGACAATGAGGCGTAGATCCAAAGGAAGTCTTGAGTGCAAGCAGACGCCAACGGAAACGGAAACACATCAGAATGGTCGGAGCTTGATATTTTCCTGAGTCTGACGTCTTTCCTCTGCGTTGGTGTTTTCCTGAGCTTTTATTGGTTGGTGGTATTTGGTTGTCAGGATTTTCGAATCCCGGTGTGTTTTTGGATTCGGGTGTAAGAAAATTGGCGGGAAACGAATCGAGCTGGAAGGACAGTGGGCGCGATGTGAGCTGGAATTGTGTGAAGTGGACCTCTGAGTCGAGCATTCCCTCGAAGTTCGTTCGATCGGTGAGCAACAACGCAGGTATTTTGCGCTGATCGGGTCAGTTGTCACTTGATCTGTACTAGAGAGAGGCAACCTTGCAGGTCAGATCGCTCGACGTGACACGATCGGTTACAATATGCGAACCATCGTGAACTCGTTTCAATTCTTACAGAAAGTCAGTCTCGGGTCGGATCGGACCCGGCATCATGTAGAGGCACTCAAAAGATCGGCTGGACGCTTCACCTCCCACTTGATCACAGCTTTCCGAACCGTTTTAGATCCCGCGGGAAACCGAACCTGCTCAGGATCCAGGAGGTAAAGTGTCCCCCGGACCAGAACCATAAACTGGGGCCTTGGGAACTCCAATTCACTCCACCCTATCTTCTCCGCAAGCAAGATAACTCCAGGAGCTTGAAGCCCTGGTGGGAGTATCGTAGACTTCAAAGACAGCAGGGAGTACTGGTTCCTCTGTCTGCGGTAATAGTTCGCGATTGCGCACGAACCTGGCGATCTCTTGCAATTGCACAAGGCTTGTTGATCAACGGTCGCGATCTTGCAGAACCCGAACTATTTTGCATGCTTACGCCAGCAGGAAGGCGCCAAGAAGCAGTTTGAAACCATTCTCTTAATTTCGGGTCGTGCTGTAACGAGGAACCTGCTGAATTCCAACAACAAATTCGTCAATTTCCGTGACGTTAGACTGAAATGGCGTCTGTCGGGCCTGTCAAAGGCACGAATCGAGGATACGCGACGAATTCGTACTTCACGTCGCTGGGTGGGCACGTCCATGGGTCTGCTTTCAGGTTTGTTCACACTCCCAGGCCAGGCCTGTTTCTTGAAACGAAATTACGTCTATCTTAATATCTTCATCCTTTCTAAAAAAAACGTGCTTAACCCTCTTGTCATTGGATGCGTGCAGGTCTGCTTTGCTCTCAGGTCGCCTCCATTCCAACCACTTTCCAACCAGCACCATCACCACCAGCAGCATCAGCAGCATCAGAAGCATCAGCAGCAGCTGCAATCCTCTCTCCATTCTCCCCCAGGCGGTCCTTCCCCTTATCGCTCGCCCCATCCCTCTCGCCTCCCACTCATCCCCCTCACCCCTGCTCTCGCACTTCCTCCCCGTTGCGCACTGCCGAGCCGAATCAGCCTCGGACCAGACCTTCCAGCCATGGACTCACCAAGCCTCGCGCACAGGCTCGGGAACAGTTTTCCGAACGGAGAAGAGCAATGGAAAGGGAAACGAAGGTCCCGGAACATCACCAGCAGCTTCTGATGACGAAGAGGTTCGCGCTCGTGCTGACATCAGCAGATCAGCCAAGCTCATCACAGAACGAGTGGATGGGAAGCTCTACACTGTGAAGCTGAGATCTCTCTACTCCGCCTTCTGTCCACGTGGCATGCTGATAATGGCTGTGAGGAACAGCCTTATCCAAATCCTCCCTCTGTTTGCAGACTATATAGAGGCTCAGGCTCCCAGTATGGAAGAGGAGGAGGAGGAGGACGAGGAAGAAGAGGAGGCGAGGAGGGAGAGGGAGAGGAGGAGAGCGGTGGAAGCAGCGGAGAGGGAGAGGAGGATTGCAGCATTTCGAAATATGGGTGCGGGGAAGATCGCTGCAGGCACAGCGCGGCTGTCTCTTAGAGAGGTGAGGAGGGCTGGTGATGTGGGGTTTGAGACGGCTTAGAAGAAGATTGCAGCGTTTCGGAATATGGGTGCTGGGAGGATTGCTGCAGGGACGGCGTGGTTGTCGCTCAGAGAGGTGAGTAGGACTGACGCATGTGGGAGGCAAGGAGGGAGAGGGAGAGGAAGATTGCAGCATTTCGAAATATGGGTGCCGGGGAGATCGCTGCTGGCACAGCGTGGCTGTCTCTCAGAGAGGTGAGGAGGGCTGGTGATGTGGGGTTTGAGACGGCTTAGAAGAAGATTGCAGCGTTTCGGAATATGGGTGCTGGGAGGATTGCTGCAGGGACGGCGTGGTTGTCGCTCAGAGAGGTGAGTAGGACTGACGCATGTGGGAGGCAAGGAGGGAGAGGGAGAGGAAGATTGCAGCATTTCGAAATATGGGTGCGGGGAAGATCGCTGCTGGCAGAGCGTGGCTGTCTCTCAGAGAGGTGAGTGGGCTTGGTGCATTTGGGTGGAGTGTGAGACGTATCAAAATCAGGATTGCAGCGTTTCGGAATATGGGTGCTGGGAAGATTGCTGCAGGCACACTAAGGCTGTCGCTCAGGGAGGTGAGATAGGTTAGGGCTGACGCATTTAGGTGATCTCCACTCTCCCCTATCCCTCTCCCCCCCATCAGTTAGCTGTAATCACTGTGTGCTGGGCAGTGGGTGGAAACACTGGCAGGTGTGTCTTCGCCCCCGCTCCCCTCTTCGCCCTCCTTCCCCTCCTCCTCGTCCCTCCCCCATCAGATGGCTGTGATCTCAGTGCGCAGGGCGCTGGAGCACTTTTACCTTGTAAGGTTCCCCTTCCCCTCTTTCCTCGTTCCACCCCCCCCTCGCCCCCACACAACCCCCACCCTCCCCCACCACACCCCCCCCCTAATCAGATGGCCGTGATATCAGTGCGTAGGGCGCTGGAGCACTTTTACCTTCTTAACAACAGTGCTCCGCCTTCCTCCCCTATTCCCCCTTCTTCTCCCTCCTTCCCACACTCCCTACTGCCCCATCAGATGGCCGTGATCTCAGTGCGCCGGGCGCTGGAGCACTTTTACCTTCTTAACAACAATGCTCCGCCTTCCTCCCCTATTCCCCCTTCTTCTCCCTCCTTCCCACACTCCCTACTGCCCCATCAGATGGCCGTGATCTCAGTGCGCCGGGCGCTGGAGCACTTTTACCTTCTTAACAACAGCGCTGAGCACTTTTATGTTCTTGAAGAATTTCCTTTCCCCCGCAATTCAACCTCTCCCCACCTTTTCCGCCTGTTCCCTCTCCTCTCCCCATTCAGATGGCCGTGATATCAGTGCGCCGGGCGCTGGAGCACTTTTACCTGGCTCGCTCCGTGTCTGCCCGGTGGCTGTGGAAGCTGACCAAGGGTGAGATGAGATGATAGTAGGTGTGGGGCGAGAGAGGAGAGAGGGGAATCATAAGTGTCAGGCGCGCTCTATGTGGCTCGCTCCGTGTCTGCCCGGTGGCTGTGGAAGCTGACCAAGGGTGAGATGAGATGATAGTAGGTGTGGGGCGAGAGAGGAGAGAGGGGAATCATAAGTGTCAGGCGCGCTCTATGTGGCTCGCTCTGTGTCTGCCCGCTGGCTGTGGAAGCTGACCAAGGGTGAGATGAGATGATAGTAGGTGTGGGGCGAGAGAGGAGAGAGGGGAATCATACGTGTCAGGCGCGCTCTATGTGGCTCGCTCTGTGTCTGCCCGCTGGCTGTGGAAGCTGACCAAGGGTGAGTGAGACGATCGTGTGGAGAGGAATGAACGGAGAGTGGGAATGCAGAAAGAGGGAAGCACTGGTATGTGGCTCAAACCGTGTCTGCCCGCTGGCTGTGAAAGCTAACCAAGGGTAAGAGATTTGATCGTATGGGAGAGGTATGAACGGGGGGAGTATGAGCAGGAGGAGTATGAACGGGGGGAGTATGAACGGGGGGAGTATGAACGGGGGGAGTATGAACGGGGGGAGTATGAACGGGAGGAGTATGAACGGGGGGGGTATGGGGGAGAGAGAACAAAGGAGAGGGAAGCACCATTATGTGGCTCTTTCCTTATCTGGCCAATGGCCGTTGAATCGAGCCAAGGGGGAGAAAGATCATGTGGGAAAGCAGGGAGAGCGAGTGTGTGAGAGAGAAGGAGTGTTTGGTAGCTTTTCTAGCTCCACTCTTCCTCTCTCGATCTTTCCTCCCAACGCCTCGCACCAGACCCTATCCACTTGGTTGGTCATACACGGTCAGCAGGGGAGCACTCACTGCCTCCCCCTTCCACCCTCCCTTCCCCTTAACGACCTAAACCCTAATTCCAACGAGTCGGCCCTTTGGAAGGTTAGCAGGAGAGGACTCATAAGTCCCCTTGAAATGTTTTCAAAATCACTTTTTCCCTTCTCCGCCGTCCCTCGCTCTCAATACCCGTCACCAGACCCCACCAGTCAGCCATTTGCAAGGTCAGCAGGGGAAAACTCACAGGCAGTTTTGAGGCGTCTCAAGAGTCACTTCCTTCCCCTCTCCGCCTTCCCTCTCTCCCAACGCCTCGCCCCCAGACCCCACTCAGTCAGCCATTCGCAAAGTCGGCAGGGGACTCACCGGCTTGGGTTTAATCACATCCGTTACAATCACCAACGTCAGAGGTATAATCTCTTGCCGCTCCCTCTCCCTCTCCCTCTCCTTCTCCCCCTCCCTCTTCCTCTCCCCCTTCCTCTCCTTCCTGTTTTCTCTACCTTCCATTTCATGCCTGCCTCCCATTCTCCCTTTTGACACCTCCTCTCTGTCTCACTACCTCGCCTCACCTCTCATGCTTCATAATTTATGGCACCTTAGTAGTTCTGCCTCCCTTGCTTCTTAAGTATTTGAGTCACTTAAAGATATGTTGCCTCCTCTGCTTCCACACCACACCCCCCAAGTTTCTAAACTACTGTGCTTCCCCACCACACCTCCCTCCCACCACACCCCTCCTTTTCTCAGTCAGCCCTGGTCCTGAGCCAGGCCCACTTGTAATACTGTTCCACTGCAACTTATAACGATTCTGCTCCCCCACTCACGTTTCAAGACAGCTCAAAAATCATATCATTACTTTATAGTCGCCTCCAAACTCAGTCAGCCCAGGTCCCAGGCCCACTAATAATGCCATAGCACTCCAACTCATAACAGTTCTGCTCCCCCCCCTCTCTCCTCTCCTCCCTCTTCCCCTCCCTCTTCCCCTCCTTTCTTCCCTCCCCACCAGCACACTTCCTGAGCCCACTATCCAGTGTAGCAGTGCAGCTTATAACGGATACCTTCACTGCCTTCCACCGCCTGCTCTTCCCTCCACCACCACCACAAGCGGGTCAGGGGCTCGCTATAAGCCCTGTGAGGGCCACAGGAGTGCAAATCGTGTGGCTAGTAAAGCGAACGCTGAGCTACTCGCTCAAGCTCGTGTTCTCTACTGCCTCTGGAGCGCTGCTATCGGCGGTGTGTGTGCGATACGTGGGGCCTTGGACCACAAGCTATGGTGAGCAATAGGTAGTTTCTTCTGGTTATGCAATAAAGCGAACGCTCAGCTACTCATCAAGCTCGTGTTGCAAGCTGGCCAGGGGCTCGCTATAAGCCCTGTGAGGGCCACAGGAGTGCAACTCGTGTGGCTAACAAAGCGAACGCTGAGCTACTCGCTCAAGCTCGTGTTCTCTACTGTGTCTGGAGCGCTTCTATCGGCGGTGTGTGTGCGATACGTGGGGCCTTGGACCACAAGCTATGGTAAGCGTCCTGGTTCCTTTGGGCTACAACGATGCACTGGTTTGTGGCTGATATAGCGAACGCTCAGCTATTCGCTCAAGCTTGTGTTCTCTACTGCCTCTGGAGCGCTGCTATCGGCTGTGTGTGTGTGTGCGATACGTGGGGGCCTGGACCACTAGCTATGGTAAGCTCTTTCTGGTTTATTCTGGTTACAACGACATGGGTTTGTGGCTAGTAAAGACAACGCTGAGCTACTCGCTCAAGCTCGTGTTCTCTACTGCCTCTGGAGCGCTGCTATCGGCGGTGTGTGTGCGATACGTGGGGCCTTGGACCACAAGCTATGGTGAGCAATAGGTAGTTTCTTCTGGTTATGCAATAAAGCGAACGCTCAGCTACTCATCAAGCTCGTGTTGCAAGCTGGCCAGGGGCTCGCTATAAGCCCTGTGAGGGCCACAGGAGTGCAACTCGTGTGGCTAACAAAGCGAACGCTGAGCTACTCGCTCAAGCTCGTGTTCTCTACTGTGTCTGGAGCGCTTCTATCGGCGGTGTGTGTGCGATACGTGGGGCCTTGGACCACAAGCTATGGTAAGCGTCCTGGTTCCTTTGGGCTACAACGATGCACTGGTTTGTGGCTGATATAGCGAACGCTCAGCTATTCGCTCAAGCTTGTGTTCTCTACTGCCTCTGGAGCGCTGCTATCGGCTGTGTGTGTGTGTGCGATACGTGGGGGCCTGGACCACTAGCTATGGTAAGCTCTTTCTGGTTTATTCTGGTTACAACGACATGGGTTTGTGGCTAGTAAAGACAACACTGAGCTACTCGCTCAAGCTCGTGTTCTCTACTGCCTCTGGAGCGCTGCTATCGGCTGTGTGCCCACCTGCTTTCCTGTTCTTAAGACGCTTCAATACCCCCCCCCCTCCTCCCCCCCCGCCCCCCCCCTCCTCCTCACCCCCCCGCTCCCACCAGCCAACATCCTGGGTGACATGTTTGTCTTCCAGACTGCATCGACCCTCATCGACCCTCTCCTCTTTCGTTCTTGAGGCGCCCCAAACTTCACCCATCTTCACCCCACTCCACCCCACCCTAAACCACCGCTCCCCACCCCACTCCACCGCACCCCACCCCACCCCACCTCACCCCACCCCTCCCCCCAGCCTACATCCTGGGCGACATGCTAGTCTACCAAACTGCCTCGACTCTCATCGACCCTCTGCTATTTTCTGCCACCACTTAGAAGCCTCTGGTGGGTGCTGCTGGGGGTCCTGGTGGGGAGGAGATTGGGGGGGGCTTCTGCTGGTGAAGGCTCGACTGGGGAAGGTTTTACCGCGAGCACTGCTGCTTCTGCCGCTTCTGCTGGTGGTGCTGGTGGTGAGGGGAATTTCACAAGGCTTTAGTGAGAAGAGTCGGTTGAAGTCTCTAGAGGAGTGAGGTGGCGGAGGAGGAAGAGGAGGAGGAAGAGGAGGAGGAGGAAGAGGAAGAGGAAGAGGAGGAGCAGGAAGAGGAAAGCCATGGTAACAGTGTTCCAGACCACCTCAACTATCATCGACCCTCTCCTCTTTGCTGCTGCCACCGCCAAGAAGCCCCCAGGGCGTGCTGATGGGGGTCCTCGTGTGGAGCAGACCTGGGGAGGCTCTGCTGGTGAAGGCTCTATTGGGGAAGGTTTTATTGTAAGAACTGCTGCTTCTGCTGGTGGTGCTGGTGGTGTGGGAAATTTCACAAGGCTTCAGAAAGATCTCTAGAGGTGTTAGATGGAGGACGAGGAGAAGAAGCTGTGTTGAGTGTCTTTCGAACCGCGCCGCCTCTCCTTTGCCCTCTGTGCCTCTGGTGGGTGCTGTTGAGGGGGCTGGCGGTGGTGATGCTCCACATGATACTACTGCTCAGCTGCTGGCGATTGTGTCGTTTTATTCATCCGTCCATTATCTTGGTGCGATTAAATGAAAATTGAGATTGGGATTTGGATCTAAGAAATCAAGCTATTAATCAGGCAAATTTATGCCTGTAAAAAAGCAATGTTATGTAAACGTCTTTGCAATACGGATTGGGGTTGTAGAGAGTACAGTATGGAACATAACGGATGCAATTGAAAGGGGCGGGCGTGTGGATGGAATATGGGAGGCCGAAATGGATTCCAAAAGGGAAGGAAGGGCGAGCACGATGTGGGAGTGCGCGCCTCGGGGAAGGACAGGAAGTGAAGTGACATTGAAATCCTTCACGTGTCTTGAGAGGTGGCTTTAGATTCTGCAGCCAGGAGGAAATGGAGGTGCCCCTGCGTGGACATCTGCACATCATGTGGACGGCTTCGGCCTGAGCTCATGTGCGTGATGCGACATGAGGTGGAGAAAGGAGGCACCTGATTGAGAACCTGGTGCCATAGCCTGCATTTCGTACATTCACTACACTGTTGTTCACGTGTTCTAGGGTTTCATGCTATTTTGTTCGACATTTTTACAATTACCTGTAAATTTTGAGCTGTTTTGTAAAATATGTCGATTACGATTCGTCCATCGCCACCACCATTTACCTGCGCGGGAGTGAGGTACGAGCGGAAGGTTCGGGAGTTGTGTGGATTCCAGAGTTTCCGAAGGTGAGTTTTGGGATAACGTGTGCTGCTCATCTGTACCCCTTCCTTCCTCGGTATACACTGCAAACATCTGGTTCGAAGGGTGACTGGTATGATTTGCCAAACATGCCTTTGGTGTCGCCCGGAACTGTACTGCAGCACAGCTCGTGCTATCCTTCTAAATCTACTCCACCCACACACACAAGGATACATCGAGCCGCGATATTCTTGCGGTCAATCCAAGTTGCAGCACTGCTGTCCAGCACAGCATGAATCCACGTCGATTCCGTGGCAGCTGGTCCATAGCATTTCGTCCAGCCAACCAAACTCTTCGCGTTGTCCAGCGTCAGCCACATTGTCCACAAGGATTCCGTGCTGTACGTGCAGGTTTGGATTGGACCAACCAGATTTTTTTATTTCTAGCCAACACGGCTGTGGCTGTCATTTCCTCGCCATTCACTTCGCCGCAAATCGCACACAAAAAGTTCAAACTATCGACACACTGTTGCGTACCTCAAACAGCTCGCTTGTTTGAAACTCCCAAGGCAGGGTGCACGCCAATTCAAGGCTCCAAACCAAAGGCCTTCCACGGCAATCGGAAAATTGTGTGGTTCCTCCGACAAACTACGTCTCGCGTTTCTGGGATGGACCCATGTGACTGAGATTATTAGGAAGCTTCAGGCAGCGTTTCGTACCCAGTGCATGTGCAATGGCTCTGACAAAAGCGGTCCGACATGAGGTCGTGGTGTGGTGGTTGGTCATAACTTGGTCAGTTGCCGCGGCAATCAATGCGATCGGTTTGGATCAGAACCAAAGCGACGATCAGAACGAAGTTGCCAGCGAACCGGAGACAGAAATTTCTCATTTGGAATTGCTGACTCTTCCACGTGGCACATTTGCAACGCCTCAATGAATTGAGCATCCCGCACACCAAGCCGATGGTTGCGTTGTCACGACGAACTTGCTACTTCGCCTCCCCCCCCACCCTCCGCCCCTGGTCCCCCCTCGCCTTGCCCTCCTCCCTCTCCCACCCTGCACGATCCATATTCGGGGCAATAAATTTCTGTCGTTTTGCACCGAGACCCCCAAAATCTCGGATCGCTATCTGTTGGGGCAGGATTCTGGAAATGTTTTACAGCATATTTCGACGCCGCAGATCTAGTCTACACCTTCATCCTATGCTGCCAATGCTGTTATGTTCTGCCCAGCCCATCTTGCCAACAGAAATAAGCAAATCCCAACCATCAAATCTCGATCCATCCATACGTCCACTCCACCGCACCACCACCCTCCTCTGCTGCAGCGTGCAGCGTAGCCTACACATCAAGCAGAAGGGGAAAAGCCGCGCAAAAATAGCGCATCGCACTCGCACGCGCGAAGCCAGACGCACCACCAATGCGAAGCGACGAACGTTCTCGCGTTTGAATAAAGCGTGATGGATGGGATGGGAGGGAGAAAACGCATCCCAGACCACAGCATAATTCAGTTCAGCGGCGGTGACTCATCGACTTCTCTATTCTGAGTAAAGTTGGACTGCAGCTCATTCCAGTTCACGAAACCAGCTGGAGTTCGTGTTGCAAGCCCAGCAACCTTCACAGCTAACCTTATATATTTGAAGACGGTTTCTCTCTGTTACGAGATGGCTATCGAGTTTAGAAATTCTGACACTCCCGCAGAATGGAAGCGAGGTCGTCTGTTAGGATCGGGCTCCTTCGGTCGCGTGCACATGGCAATCGACAACACGTCGGGCGATTTTTTCGCAGTTAAGTCCGCATCGTCGCAAGCGTCGCAGGCGTCGCCTCAGCAACAAGAGAGGTTGAGAAACAACAATGGCGCAGTCGAAGCTTTGGAAAACGAGATCTCCATCCTTTCCACCCTCGACTGTGAGCAGATCGTGGGATTCCGCGGCGCGGATTGGTCGCAAGAAGGCGACGCGAAGGTTCGCAACCTGTACTTAGAATACGCCGCGGGCGGCTCCGTCGCGGGGCTTTTGAAATCCCCATCGGGGCGCTGCCGCGGGCTCGATACGTTGACTCTGAAAAAGTTCACTAAGGACGTCGTTAAGGGGCTCTGCTATCTCCACGAGCGGAGCGTCGTTCACGGAGACATTAAGAGCCTAAATCTGCTCCTCACCAGCGACGGCCACGTCAAAATCGCCGACTTCGGCGCCGCCTTCCGTGTCAGCAGCACCTCCCCCGCCGCCGCAGCCGCCACCACCATTGCGGCGCGCGAAGTCGCGGGTTGGTCCGCCGCCGCCGCCACCGGCGCAAGCCACGGGCTGCGCGGAACGGCGAACTGGATGGCGCCGGAGGTGGGGCGCGGGGAGCAGCAGACCCCCGCCGTTGACATCTGGTCCCTCGGATGCACGGTTCTCGAAATGGCGACCGGCCGCCCCGCGTGGTCAGACGTGACAGGTGGCATGTTCTCCGTGCTTTACGCTGTTTCCTGCACGGACGCGATGCCGCGGATTGCGGCGGAGGTTCCGGCGGCGGTGCGCGGGTTTTTCGAGTGCTGCCTGCGGAGGAACCCCCCGGAGCGGTGGACTGCGGCGGAGTTGCTGGCGCATCCGTTCCTCGCGGAGGTTGCGGAGGGGGGTGAGGGAGAGGAAGTCGCGCGGAAAGCGGCGCTGGTTTGCGCAACTCCGCGTTCCCCGACCTCCCCGTTCGACTACGGCCTCGATTCCGATTCCGATTCTGATTCGATTGTACCAGCTGCAGCAGCAGCGGCGAGCGAATCATCCAAGCGCAAGCGGTCTGATGATGACGATGACGTGGCAGATCGCAAGCGTCAGCGCGACGTCTCGGCGGAGCAGAAGCAGTCGTTCCAGTGGCCCAAGTCGGTGCTGTGCCCCGCCGCTGCTGATTGGATCGTCGTCCTCGCGCTACGACCCGTCGTTGACGCCTAGAGTCTCTCGCAAACGCGTACGAACTTTCGCAGACGCCTGGAAACCCTAACATAACCATCAGATTTCCCTTCGCATGGAGTGTCCTCAATCTGCGATGGGTTTTAGATCGAAGGGCTTAAGCCGATATTAGAGCTAGAGGTTACCTGCGGAAGCCTATACCGGAGCGGCTTGTACAGGGACAAAGTATCAGCGCCAGTGTTTTGGTGAGGAGAACCTCGTTTCTGGAGCTTCGTTTTAGTACCAGTAACTGGCCAGCAACCCCAAGCCTTGGGGAGGCCAATAGAGCAGCATCTCATTTTTGACACTAATGTAATTAATTGTACAGCTATTATTAATCTTATCTAGCCTGTTACCACTTTTCTATCCCATCGGAAGACCCCGGTTGTGTGGGTATAAAAAGCCAGTTTTCTTGGCTTGAGAAATAGCAAAGAAGTTGCTGCTTCAGCCAGTGGCTGGCTGGTGGTTGAGCCTTTTCATAGTGAGAGAGTGCTTCTGCATACAGTCACACAAAGAAAATCTTGCCTCCTTTATAGACTGAGCAGAAAGAAGGCCCCACCCGGCCAGGCCAAACTGCTGAAGAGGCACTAGTACCGTAAGGACAGACTGCCAGTAAGCCACTCTTTGCTATGAAGGGACCTGCTGCTACCAAAAAGGGAAAGGCACTATGCTGCTGCTACGGTTTTGCTGATACGTACGATACGAGCCCGTAGGAAGTTTAAAACGTCAGTTGGATCAGATGGGTAGAACATGGGTGCGAAATTGATGGTTCGGGCACCAAACAGCAGGGTAATCAAAATGTCATCATGAACTCCACTCTCTCCACCATCAGATCACAGCGTGCTGAAAAAATAGCACACAACAGACACAGCCTATCCTCGACACCCCCCCACAGCCTATCCGCTTTCCCTCCCCCCATCCCACTCATTCAGCACCACCACCACTCATTCACAAATCAGCTGCACTTTTGAGATGTCTCAAAAGTCGAACTGCTTTCCCTCTCCACATCCCACCCATCCAGAATCACCACCAGCAACCCACTTCGGTTCACAAATCAGCTGCATTCCCCAAGCGGAAAGTATAAGCCTGGCCATTGGCCAATCAGAGCAGCCGTGTGGGTTTGATAGGAGGAGCAGCAGCAGGCCCACTCCCCAGCGGCTTGAACGCCTTCGCCACCAGCCCATCCCCATGCCCCGCATACCCCGTCCCTCCACATGCCAGCTCCACCAACCCCCTCCTCTCCCCCCCTTTCCCACTCCCAGCAGCACCACCCCCCTCCACGGCTGTCCCACAGACCGTGCAAGCCCCATCAGCAGAAACGAATTTCTCAATGCAGCGACGGCACAGCACATGCCCGCATGCAACTATAGCCGAGAGTTTCGACGCATTAGTGAGGGTGGTGGAACACGCAGGGCACATGTACCGCGCTCCACCGTTGCTCACCGCAGCCGACGTCGTCACCTGCTTCGCCGAACTTCCTCCCGAACCTCTGCCCGAGCCTCCGCCGAAGCCAAGCGGCTGGTCCGGCGGCGGCAGCGGCGTGAAAACAATTGGGAAAAGGTCCTTGAGACGAAGCTTCCCGCAGCCTTCTGGACACGTGGTGTCAGTGGGAGGGGGATCGACTTTCTTGGGCGCGTCAGGCGTGGCCGAAGGCATCCAATAGGCTCGCATCGTTCTCACTGCCTCTTCCTCGAATGCTGTTGTTTTCACGGAGTTTGCTCCTTGGAAATTCATCCGCCCGCTCCCACTGCCTGAACCTGCTAGTCCCCCTCCTCCTCCTCCACCAAGTGAGGGTGTTTCGCTGCCAGCAGCGGGAGTTGCAGCAGCGCCGGCAGCAACAATGGCGCCAGCGGTAGCACCAGCAGGGTCAGTAGCAGCAGAGGCACGGAGGCGTTTTACGGAGGATGGGCCACTGGCACCAGTGGCACCAGAAGCACCACTAGCAGCAGCACTGGCAGCAGCAGTAGCAGCAGCAGAAGCAGCAGCACCACTACCAGCAGTGGGGGGCAGAGCTGCGTGGTTCTGGCGGTCGAAAGCATCGAGCTCTCTTGCTCTCTCCGCTGCTGCACGCTCGTTGTCCTCGTCCTCCTCCTGCCGCTGCTGCGCCTCCCATGCTGCCCGCTTGCTGTGTAGCGAGCGAGTGGGGTTGAGAAGGGTGAAAGAGGGAGAGAGGAGAGAATGAGGGAAGGAGCTGGGGAAATGGAACGGCGGTCAGCTCTTCACGTGCCTGACTGACACTGCTGAGCCTCTCGTGCTTCCCGCCTGCTGTGTGTTCAGGGAAAGCGGGAGACAGGGTGGGGGGATAGGGAACGGGAGGGGGGACGCACGGGGGATGGGGGGATGGGGGATGACGGGGGGATGGACTGAAAATCTGGGAAGCAGTTAAGGGTTACGCTGAGGGGGGAAAGGGGGCGTTCGAAATTGTGGAAAAGGCTTGAGATGTGGGGGGGTGGAGAAGGCGAGACAACAGGAGAGAGGGCCACGTGTTACCGCTCCCGATCGTATTGTATCCTTGCCCAAGCCGCACCTTCTGCGTGCGAAACCCTAGCATCCGCCACTCCATGCCCAGCCGCTTGCTAAAAACACTCATTCTTCGATAAAATCACATGCCAACACGTCTGCTGTTCAGTACCGCTCCTTCTGCAGGTGAGTTTTGAGAATTCACAAACTCACCTGCAAACCCTAGTTTGCACAGCCCCCCCTGCGCCCTATCTCTGGTACCCTTCCTATCGGATCCAATCTAAAAACGTACCGTTTGATGCCCTTCTTTTGCGTGAGCAAGCACGTGTAGATGCATTCTTTGCAGAACACATGTCCGCTGCGACAGCTGTGTTTTAGGTTTACTCAAAAGGTGTGCTTTGAGTATACTAAAAGCACGCCTGAATACGTACCGTTTGATGTCCTTCTTTTGCGTGAGAAGACACGTGTAGATGCATTCTTTGCAAAAGATATGTCCGCTGCGGCAGCTGAGCGGATCGACAGCCTCCTGAAGGCACAGCGCGCACGCGTCGAACGGCTTAATCGAGTCCTTGCCGAGCCGCTCCTTCTGCGTGCCGAACCCTAGCTTGCGCCGCTCCTCGTACGTGAAGTGCGCGCGGTCGTTGCAGTTGCGCGAGTGCCGCTGCGGCATGGCGGGCGAGGCGGGCGAAACGGGCGAAACGAGCGAAACGGGCGAGACGGGCGAAACGGGCGAGACGGGTGAGACGGGCGAAACGAGCGAGACGGGCGAAACGGGCGAGACGGGCGAGACGGGCGAGGCGAGCGAGACGGGCGAAACGGGCGAGACGGGCGAAACGGGCGAGACGGGCGAGACGGGCGAGGCGAGCTAGACGGGCTGTCGTGAAATAGCCAATCGACTGTCCAGAGTTCCCCCAGAAATTGCCGTGAGATAGTGTAAGGGTCGCGTACGAATGGCCGTAATGGACGGTGTGAACACAATCGCCGGAATTGACGGCGAAAGCACACTGCCGGGAACCAGAGCTCGAAGGTGAGAACGCGGTATTTTCAAGGCAGAGTGAAGAAAAACGTCGACGGCGTTGAGGTAGGTTAGATAGGAACCGCAGTCAGTGTGGCAAGAAAACCTGACGTGACGCGACGCGACGCGAATTACAGCAAAGCGACCTAATCTCCTGTATTGATTGAGCAAATGACTAAGCCTAGCAAAGATAAAGCGAAAGGCCTGAGGAAATGACGGATCTCCCTGTTTTCAAGTTTCCGATTCCTTTGGGCAGTGGCTTTGACACCGTCTTGCTTCTCCGCTCGCGTCCGATTCCTTGGGGCAGCTGATTTCGACATTTCCAATTTCCTGTGACCAGGAAAATTCTGAAGTTTACCTGGTTTTAGTTTATTGGCCAGTGGAAAAAAAAAAGCCACCCCCCGCCAGCCACTCCTCCCTTGGTCAATATCCTCGATATATGCATAATGTCCGTGGCCCTTGCAATGCCTGTCCCATCGAACGCAAGTTTCAATTTAGTCACTTGCGTGGTCGGGCAGTCCCATCTTTCCCCGCTATTACAGCACAGTCCTAGCTCCCATGGTTCCCGCTAGTAGCACATTTCAGTGCTCACAGTTGCTCTCTTCTCGCAATGTTCCCCTCGTTTGTAGCACCATCAGCTACAGTCACCGTATCTCACGGCGCGGGACTCCATTCGTACCGGCCAATCAGCTGCATTCGCAAGCTACAAATAACGGTCGTAGTTTAAGGTCTACGCCGCAAAACACGCCAGTACCATCGACCCGCAAGAATGCCAGAAAAGGAACTTCTTATAACGCAGGTCTAAGTAACAGCCAGAAATGTAGCGTCCGTGCCGATTCGAGACAAAATTACTGGAATAGCAACAGGAACGTGGGTGGCAATACATCGTTCAATAACGGGGCAGCTCTTAGCGCGACTGTCAACCAGGGAACTATCTCGACGACCGGATGTAATAGTACCGGCGCTGACGGTGCTAGCGCGATGCGCGGGGATGGCACGCGCGTGAAAGCCGACGCGAGCGACGCGAATGGCGGCACTGAGGCGGCTGACGGTCAGGTGTTCGCCGTGACTGGCGCTACGGGGTACGGACGAATGGTTATTTTATCATTCTAGGCTGCTTCTTTTCGAATTCTCAAACGCCAACTGGCTGTCAGGTGTTCGCCGTGACTGGCGCTACGGGGTACGAGTGGAAGAGCAGTGTGGTTTGTGCCTTTGTGCTGACCTTATATCGCGTACAATGCTGAGTTTCAAAGGGTGGCTGTCATTCAGGTGCTCACAGCTAGTGGCATTGCTGCTGGGTACACTCTGATGTCAGTTCCCGAATGCAAAGCATCAGCACCCATCTACACCTCTCTTTGCCCATCTACACCCATCTGCACCCATCCACACCTCATCTGTACAGATTCTTGGGCTCGCATCTCCTGCAGCAGCTGCTAGCTGCGGGCCACACAGTCAGGTGCCTCTGCAGGCAACCCAACACCCTGCCGCCCCACCCCCGCATTCAGGTAGATTCTAATTCGACTCAACAGGTCACCTTGACACAACTTGAGAGAGAGTAGACTCAACCGTCACCAGGTGCCTCTGCCCATAACCCAACACCCTGCCGCAGTGCCGCCCCACCCACACCACACATCCAGGTAGGCTTTTACTGGATAACCTCAAATGTCGCCTCTGTCCCAAAGCCACCACGGACAGACAACCCCATGCCATGCCCTGCCGCCCCACCAACTTGTCCTGGTAGGCTTCATGTCAGCACCATAATCGCCTGAGTCACCTTCCCCTTCTCCCATACCAACCCCTAGTTCACTCACAGGTGGTCATCCCATCTCTTCCAGACCCCTCTTCCCTCGAATCGCTTGTCCATCGCTCCTCGAGCCTCTTCTGCCCACCCACAGTACCCTGCTGTCTCCTCCTTTCCTTCCTCCCCCCATTCCAACCTTTATCCCTAAGGTGGTCATCGGATCCCTCTCAGGCAGGCCCCTCCTCCCTCGATACCCTCCTCCAAGGCACCTCGGGTCATCATCCACCCACCATGCCTGCGTCTCTCTTCCGTCCCTCTTAGCACTCGCTTCCTCCCCACCCCCATCCCCCAGGTGGTGATCGGATCTCTCTCCGACCCCTCTGCCCTCGACTCCCTCCTCCAAGGTGACTTTTGAGTCGACTCAAAAGTCACCTCAGGTGGTGATAGGATCTCTCTCCGACCCCTCTGCCCTCGACTCGCTCCTCCAAGGCACCTCAGGCCTCTTCCACCCTCCCTTGCTAACCTTGCTCCTCAGGCGGTCATTCGAACTCTCTCAGACCCCTCTGCCCTCGACTAGCTTCTCCAAGGCACCCAAGGGTCTCTTCCACCCACCCACAGTATCCTGCTCTCATCTAGTTTTGAGACGTGTCAAAACTCTTCCACCCACCCACAGTATCTTGCGCTCATCTCCATCCCTCCCTCCCGCACTTCCTCCCCATGCCTGTCTCTCCCCCAGGTGGTGATAGGATCTCTCTCAGACCCCTCTGCCCTTGAATCGCTTCTCCAAGGCACCTCGGGTCTCTTCCACCTGGCAGGAGTCGTCATCCACTCACGCGCCGCCACGTCAGCACCACCACAACAACAACAGCAACACCCGACCCCCACGTCCACCCCTCAACCGAGCTCCACCGCACAGCACCCCTCCCTCGACCAAACCACCGTTGACGGCACGTTAGCCGTGCTCGAAGCGGCTCTTAAAGCCGGGGTTAAACGCATAGTCTATGCATCCACGTCAGGGACTGTTGGTGCTTTCACAGACTCCCGACAGGTGGCGAGCGATGATTCGCCGTACGCGAGGGAGGTGGTGGGGGGGTGGCCGTATTACCGGGCGAAGATAGAGGCCGAGGAGAGGGCGAGGGGGTATGCGGAGCAGCATGGTTTGGAGCTCGTTTGCATGCGACCCACTCTCATTCTAGGGCCAGGTGGGTTGAGAGAATTTGAAGGCATCTCCTTATGTATGCGTCAAGTGAAATGACGGGTTGTAAGAAATTTCTGGTGTAGAATATTGATTCGAGCGTAGTTGTATGCGAGGGAGGTGGTGGGGGGGTGGCCTTATTGCAGGGCGAAGATTGAGGCAGAGGAGAGGGCGAGGGGGTATGCAGAGCAGCTATGATGGATTATACGCGTTTAGCGTATATACGCGTGTCGTATATACGCTAGTGTATATACGCTAAACGCGAGTGGGGTCTGATCCAGGATACGCTTTTCTGGGCAGCTAAAAAATTTTCCCGGGCAGGTCAAAAAAACCTTCCGGGAGTGCAGTAAGGGGGGGTTCTGGTGGGATGTGTTTCTGCAGAAAATTTTCCCACACACAAATTTTCACACGGCCATACATAGAACATCAATGTGCCTCGCTACTACCTAGTCTACTCTACCTATCACCACCATTTACCCCCTTCTTGACCCGGGTTCCCTTTCTACTACTCATACTCGTCCGCCAAGACCTCGTCCTCACCTTCCTCCTCCTCCATATCATCCGCGATGTTGTAGCCAGCGGGGATGGGCGGCTCCACCTCATTCCCGCGCACAACTGATGGCATCACCTCATGGCGCGTGTGCCATCCGCGCACAACGTTCCAGTTGTGCGTGACGTACACTAAATCCGAGCATTTAGCGGATTCGAGGTGGTTCCGTCGCGCAGTGTGGACTGATTCCCACTTCGACCATCCACGCTCACACGGAGATGCCGAGACGGGCTGCGAGAGAACCTTTACGGCGAGCGACGACAGCTGCAGCGCATCCGTCCCGTTCCACTGCCACCACTTAACCATGCTGTAAGTGCCCGCCTTTACCTTCTCACTCTGTGAAATGGCTTCAGGCATCCCGAAACTCCCTTTGAGGTCAAGGAAAGACCTCAGCTGGTCCCCCAATGCGAGCAAATAGTCGCACTCATCACCCCCCTCCTTCTCCCGCACGGTGAGGAACTCCGCATGTTTGGAGAGGAAAGCCTTGAACACCCTTGTGCATTCCGCATTCCCGTCGAAGATGCCCTCCTCTTGGTTGGCGGGTTGAGGATGCGTCCCGCCACGTGCATGGCGCATGCAAGACTCCCGTCCCACCTGTTTTTCAGGATGCGGCGGATCTGCTGCTTGTCGGTGCTGGACAACTGCTCCTCATCCGCGTCGACAAGGGCCTCCACATCCTCGGTAAGTTGGAGCATTATGTCGTACATTCGCCCCATCATCCCCTTTGCGCTCCCATCCGTCTGCCGCATCGCGATGAAAGGGAGCTTCATGAGCTTCGTGAAGAACTCGGCGCACCAAGCCGCATCGAGTACCTGCGCGGCAAACCCCTCCGCTGCTTTCTTTCGATCCCCCACTGCCCAATCTTTCCACAGGTCGGAGAGCACCATCTGGGTAAGGGAATTACGAAGGGCACACAGGCGGGAAACAGTTATATACTGTGTCCCGAAGCGTGTCCCCGCTGGCTTCAACGCCTGCATCACGGTCCCCTCCACCAGCTCTAGCGTCCGCAAGTACCCCCACGTCCAGTGGTGGTTGCGGACGAAGGAACTCATTTCCCCAGCCCGATCCACCACCCCTTTCGCCCACCCAAGCTTCCCCACATCCTCCATGAGGAGATCCAGGACGTGGGTCGCACAAGGGACAATCTGAATGTGGGGCCATTCTGCAACCAAGGTCTGGCACGCAACCGCGCAGTTGGAGCCGCCGTCCATACAAAAAGCGACGATGTTCTCCGCCCCCACCTCCTCCACCACGGGCTTAAGTAACCCCGCAATGTATCCCCCTGTCTTCTTCTCCATGTTGCAGTCCACGCACACATGCAACACGGCGCCCACGTCGTTAACGAGGAAGGCATTTGCCTGCGGCCTTCCGTTTCTGTCCGTCATCACGTCGGACGCGATAATTACTCCAACTTTTTTCCAGCTTGCTTTGATGCCCACCAACCCGCTTTCGATGCCACGGCGGCATGCTTGAAGACCGCTACCGCCGATGTACTTCCGGCCTGGTGGAACATAGTTTTCGCCGGCGCGGGCGACGTCTCTGATTGCGTTGATGAAGAGAGGACGGTCGACGATCTGCTCCGGGATGTGACATCCCGCAAACATCAGCGCAAGCGACTGATGTGCTTCGCGTCTTGCCGATGCAGCGTCGCCCGCGAGATAGTCGGTTATGCGGGACCGCTTCCCACCTGGTGTCACCGAGGCAATCGCAGCCTCAGTCGATCTCTGCCTCTCCTCTGCATCTGCGGCCTGCTTCTCGTACTTGGACTTCATCGCGAGGCGAACATCAGCCGGGGCATTCTTGCAAAGTGCCACCTCCCGGCGCTTCATGGTCTTCCATGACGTCAGGTGTTGAGCGCAACGGATGGCGGCACCAGAGAAGACAAGGGGGCAGTATTTGCACTCGTACTGCTGTGCCTTGCCCTCCTCCCGCTTGATGAGCCTGAAGTGCTTAAACACTGGGTGTTCTACATCGGGAAGGTATTCCCGTGACGCAGCCGGAGGATCCCTCGCACTCTCCACAGTCTGGACGGAAGGCGACGTGGGAGATGGAGAGGAGGACATAGTCGTAGGAGCGTGCTATGCTAACTAGCTAGCGGGAGGTGAAAACCGAATGAGATTGACATTTTGACGAGTGGCTTAATAGCATGATGATGTGTTTGAATGCGGTGAAGTGGAGCGATTGAATTGTGGCAACGTGCTTGCGCGACTCGACATACTTGACCATGCAATTCTGAACGTGCAAATTGTGAAGGTGATAAACGCGACTCCAGGTCACGAATCCAATTTCCAGCCACGACAGACACTTGACGTGCAATCTGAGTTCACAGAATTGCTCGTCGTGCAATTCCGCTGCTTTTGAGCTATTCGATTTTTTTTGGGTAGGCGGGCAGTCCCGAAAAAAATCTGGGCTGCGTATAGCGTTTTCGCTAGCGTTTCGTGTTTAGCGTGTACACGCTAGCGTACAAACGCTAAACGCTTAAGCTCCAAAGCGTATAATCCATCACAGCAGAGCAGGGGCCAGGTTGGTTGAGAATTTCAGAAAACATCGATGGGTTGCAAGGGAAGTTTGGTGGAAGGTGGGGGGGAAGAACTCGTTTGAGCCTAGTTGAATCTGAAGGAGGTGGTAGGGGGGTGGTGTATTACCGGGCGAAGATAGAGGCCGACGACGAGAGGGCGAGGGGGTAGTTTTGAGGCGCCTCAAAACTAGACTTCTCTCACGCGGTTTATATGTAGATAGGATCAGGTCTAATAGTTTACCGGGCGAAGATAGAGGCCGCCGACGAGAGGGCGAGGGGGTATGCGGGGTGGCGTGGCATGGAGCTCGTTTGTATGCAACCGACTCTCTTTCTGGGACCAGGTGGGTTGAGATTCAGAATACCCAGAATACAGGGGATTCAGATCAGTTTCACCCTTGCGTGCAATGAAGCTTGATATTATGGAGGGGCACGGAGCGGCATGGCATGGGATGGGATGGAGGTGGTGTGCATGCGACCCACACTCATTCTAGGGCCACGTGAGTCAGTCAATAAGGCTTTAAGTTCAGTGACAGGGGGGCATGGTGTGGCATGGCATGGGATGGAGGTGGTGGCATGCGACCCACACTCATTCTGAGGCCAGTTGGGTTGAGAATGCACCATGGAGGTCACTGGCGGGTCCATTGGCGGGCTCGGTGGCGGGCCCGTCGGCGGGTTCGTCGGTGGGTTCGTCGGCGGGTCAGCTGATGCGCGCGCTGGCGGGACCGCCGTCGGCGGGCGTGCTGACTCGCGCGCTGGCGGGACTGCCGGCGGATTCGTCGGCGGGTTAGCTGATGCGCGCGCTGCGGGTCCGTCGGCGAGTTCGCTGGCGAGCTCGCTGGCGGGCAGAAACCGACGTACTTACCTACAGAAACCAACGCGACGGGCGCATCTTCACGAGGCGCACCACGGCGGAAGCTAATGGTGGGCCCATTTAAAAGCAAGGTCCTAGGAGGGAGGGACCACTCTGATAACATGTCAAAGGCTAGATGCTAGGCTTAGGAAGTATAGTTTTGAGGCGCCTCGTTTTTAGGCGCCTCGTTTTGAGGTGCCTCGTTTTGAGGCGCCTCAAAACTAGACCCATTTAAAAGCAAGGTCCTAGGAGGGACCACTCTGATAACATGTCAAAGGCTAGATGCTAGGCTTAGGAAGCTTAAGAGCCATAGAAGCGTGTGTGACGAGAGTAGCGGGAGCTGGGTCAAGAGAATCGGCAAAAGAGGTGGTTCACTATAATCGGAAGGATACAAATAGATGCAAAGCAACCAAGAAAGGTATGGCATCGCATGGCATGGCATTGGATGGGAGGCATGGCATGGCATGGAGCTGGTGGCAAGCGACCACCATTCATTCTGGGGCCAGGTGGGGTGAACCTTGAGAATGCACCTTCATAGTCTGGGTGACTATCAACTCGTGCTGCATGACTCTCACCTGCCATGCACCACCCACTCACACACACCCCACATCCCCCCTCCAGGTGACTACGACCTCAGCTCGTGCCGCACAGTGCTGGATATCATGGAGCGCCGCATCCCTACAAGGCACCACCCTTACAACCCTCCCCCCTCCCCCGGCTGCCCGCATGTATACACCACCACACCCACCAGGCGACTACCGCCTCAGCTCGTGCCGCACAGTGCTGCATGTCATGGAGTGATGGTTGCAGGGCAGGGTGCCTCACAGTGGTAGGGGCATGTGTATCATGTGCCAGCATCCCGCATACACACCACACCCCCCTCCATGCGACTACCGCCTCAGTTCGTGCCGCACAGTGCTTGAAATCATGGAGCGATGAGTGCAGGATGCCTCACAGTGGTAGATACATGTGTATTATGTGCCATGCATCCCCCATCACACTCCATCCCCCTCCAGGAGACTACCGCCTCAGCTCATGTCGCACGGTGCTGGATATCATGGAGCGCCGCATCCCCTTTGTGCCACGTGGCGGCCTCTCGTTCGTCGACGTGCGGGATGTGGTACGTATAAATATCAGCCTCTCAAGACAACTTCTCAGCGGTTTCAAAAGACATACCTTTCAGGAACACCCATCCCATCTGCAACCAAACCATTTGCTGCTCACTCCATCCATCCACCCTGTCTCTTTCATTCCAGGCCTCTGCTTTCATCGCTGCCATGCAATCTGCCCCTCGGACCTGTCAACATGGCTCTATCCAAGACAGAATCACTCTGAAGGGGCGCCGATCCCCCCATGTGCTGCACTCTCTTTCTGCTCACCCTGTCTCTTTCATTCCAGGCCTCTGCTTTCATAGCTGCCATGCAGTCCGCAGCTCCTAACACCACGTACCTTCTCGGAGCCGTCAACATGACCTTATCCAATTACTTCCACCTCATTGCACGTTGCGCTGATGTGGCGCCGCCATGGCTGTCCGTGCCGCCACGTGTCGCGTGGGTATTGGCCGCCACCGCGTCGAAACTCCTGCCTCTGATTGGCCAGAAGGACCCCTCGCTTGACCCTGTTGTTGTTGAGATGGCACAGGTCTATTGGTGAGTGAGAGAGTGACAGAGTAAGTGTGTGAGTGACAATGAGTGAGGGTGTGATTGTGAGTGAGGTGAGAGTTTGAGTGTGAGTACGTGTGAGTGTGAGTGTGAGTATAAGTGTGACAGTCTGCAGTGTGTGGTGTGCCGGAGTGTCGGTTTGTGCATGTGCAGGTGTAATACTGTCTCAACCCCCTCTCCCTCCCACACACCTCCATATCACCACCCTTCTTCTCTCAACATCGTCATATCCACACCATCAGGAGCATTGACCAAGCAGCTAAGGAGCTTGAATTCACCGTTTCCCCCCCTGTTTCTAACCACATCACATCACCACCATTGTCATCACACCACTACCATCATCACCACAACACTAGGTACATTGACTGGAGCAAGGCAGAGAAGGAGCTTGTGTTTGCCCCTCGGCCATACAAGACAACAGTGGCCGACACAGTGGCGTGGCTGAGAGAGCACAGAAGAAAGCTAAGGGCCGGAGGGTAGAGAATTGAAATAGACAGGAGGGTTGAGCACGAAAGACAGATTTACGCAAGATTCATCGTTTGACTGTATTAGACGACAGTGGCTGACACAGTAGCATCGCTGCGAGAGAAAATGTAAGAGCTGAAGGGGTGACATGACAACATGGCAGGCTGACAAGGGCAATGTCTCCATGAAAAGGTGTAGGAAACAGAGTGTGATAATAGTGCCTGTCATGGTGGGACCGTGGGATGTTATTCCTTCCATGGTGGCAAGGCTGCGAGAGCACCAGAGGGAGTTGAAAGGGGTGACAGGCTGGTAGGGGCTGGCTGGTGCAATGCATGGACTTGGATTGTAGTGCCAACATATAGTGGCTCGCCCTGCATAAAAATTATAAATTTTAAACACACATTGTGTTTTTAAAATTGTGTATTGTGAAAGCGAAGCTGCTTGTACTGCACATTTGGCATCGTCGAAGCCCGCTAAACGCCCTTCTCCAACTACAAAAACCGTGGGTTGGAGCTCATTTCCCTCCACCCACGTTTCTCTATTTCCAACGGCTCACTCAACTTTCCCGCTCGAGTAGTTTTTTCCTCCGTCCAAACTGGCTAGAACCAAAACGCTTCCTCGAGGCGTTTCACCCTCGACTTTACTCAGTGATATTTTTAACTTCAATCGCTCAACGATGGCACCTACGCCGGCACTTAACAACGACAACTCGGCCAACCCCGCTTCCGACTCCGACCGTAACGCCCGCGATTTTGCGGGCGATCGACGTAACAAGCGTCGGGCAGAAGATGGACCTTCCGCCCCGACTGGAGTGGACGTGCTGCTGGGCGGGCTCGATGCCAAGCACCCTTCGGCGAATGTGGCGCCAGTGGCGCCTGTGGCACCAGTGGCGCCAGTGGCAGCGGCGGCTGGCGCGACACACGCGACTGACGCGGGGCACACGCCAGCACCCGCGGCTGGACCGTCGCGTCAGCGCCAGAGGCGACGACCGGCGGTCTCCTCGTCTGACACGACGGCGACCCCTACGCTGACGCAGGCGTTGACCCCGGACCAGGTCAACGCGCTGCTGTCCCTTCTACAGCAGCAGCCCGTCAGCGTTACAGCCGCGGAAACTGCACTACCTACTGCATCTGCGTCTGCTAAAAACGAAACTGCAAAAAAGGAAAAAGGAGTGCGAGAAGCAAGGACGAATCGGCGCAACAACGACGCAGCGACCTGCGTTCCCCCTGCTCCAGCGGTCGACAACGACACCGACGACTCCGAAGATGACGCCGGTGAGGCTCCAGTCGACAATACTAATTTTATTGGCACGGAAAATCTCCCCCCCCTCCCTTCTTCTAACCTCACTTTTTCGGCGACGACATTCGTCAACGACTCCGTGCGAGAGCAAGCGGAGCTGCTGGAGGACTTGCGCGCGTACCTGCTGCACGCGGAATACAAGGCGCAGCGCGGCGACTCGGCAGGCGGACTCGAACTCATCTCACACGCCCTCAACCTCATCGCGGGGCGTTTCGAGGTGCTTCAAGTGGAGGACGCCTCCGACTTCCGCACGGCGAAGCGCTTCAAGCTGTACCAGCAGAAGAGCCTGCTGACCTCTCGACCCTTCAAGCAGGCGGTCGCGGACATGGCTGCGATGGACCGCGCCGCAAGCGCATACGCTCGCGTCAACCGCGGCGGAAGCAACGCGCCGATGCCGTTCATTCCCAAGCGGGGTCCCCCACCCACGGCCAATTGTCGTGGGTTTCGGGGCTCGTGCTTCCGCTGCGGCCAGCCGGGCCATGTGGCAAGTGCCTGCCCTAGGAACGGGCATGGTGGCCAAGGTCCCGCTCCGGTAGTGTAGGAGCGGACCATGGGAAATGCGCTCGGAGCGCAAGGCACGGTGCACTCTAGAGTGCGGAAACCGTGGGCAGCCCTAGGGGTTTGCGATGGCAAGAGGCCAGCCATAGACAAGGGTAGAGTAGGCCTTGGGCCTAGGTTAGGGAAGGGGAACATCAACCCCTCGGTCCCATGTATTGGCCACTAGGTGGCGTATGCATGCTAGGAAAGCATTGCTATGTGTGTCGGGTCGATTTAATAAAACATTATTCCTAAAGGCCCTCTGATTTTGGCAAGTGACACTCTAAGAAACAAAGAAGTGGTGCAGAGCAAGAGAGAAAGAGAATCAGAGAGAAAGAAAGAGAGAGAGAGAGAGAGAGAGAGAGAGAGAGAGAGAGAGAGAGAGAGAGAGAGAGAGAGAGAGAGAGAGAGGGCATGGACAGCCGCATCCAATCGTGTGTGGACCGTGGGGCGAGCCGGTCGGTGCTCGGCACACTCGTTGACATAGCAATTCATTATCAATTCTGTCCACACCGTTTACAAGTGATCTCAAGCACGTGCACACATGCAACACACGTATTTTTAAATAAAAAGTGCAGCCCTTGTCCCATGCCACGAACACACAGGAGCGTGGCAATACGAGGCGGCATGCGGCGACGACCCATACGAATTTGCCATAACGGACAAAACCGTTACACATATGCGCGGCCGGCTTCGCGCGACCTTTGCATGGTGGAGCTCATGGTGCTCGAGTAGCCTTGTCCTCTCCGTCATAGCCAAAGGCTATTGGTTGCCATGGAGCCACGGCCCACCGCAACCCTTCCACGATCGCAACCATGTCGGGGCGAACACGCATGCCACATTCACACGTACTGCCGTACAAGAACTCACGGAGACCGGAGCGGCAGTTCCGATGGCCGCAAAGGAGCTTACTTGCATAAGTCCGCTCAACGTGGTCGAGCAAAAAGACAAATGCAGGCTCATTCTTGATCTGAGGAAAGTCAACGCCCACTTAATTGTCCCCAAGTTCAAGTACGAGGGACTTAACCGGGTGGCCGACCTGGCACGCGCTGGGGACTGGATGTTCTCCATCGACCTCAAATCCGGCTATCACCACATCGACATCCACCCCTCGTGCTGGAAGTTCCTTGGATTCGAATTTGGTGGACACACATACGCATTTCGATCCCTGCCATTCGGACTCGCCACAGCTCCATTCGTCTTCATGCAACTCATCAAGCAACTTGCTCGGCGTTGGCGAGAACAGGGCATCCGAGTAGTGCCATACGTGGATGACATTTTATTTCTCTGCCAGTCAAAGGCCCATGCGCAAGCTACCTGTCAGCGCGTAATATTGGACCTCAAAGCAGCGGGGCTGGTGATAAACGCGAAGAAATCGCAGCTCTCACCATCGCAGCACCTTCGATTTTTGGGTGTAGAGTTGGACACCGACACCGGCCGATTCTCCATCGGTCCCGACCGACGAGTCGCGCTACATGCAACCATCCAGAACCTCCTAAGTGCAAGCAAGGCAAGCACACCAGTCCCCGTCCGTCATGTGGCCAGAGTCACAGGCATGCTCGCCTCAATGAGTGTCGCACTAGGCGCGACAGCTCGCGCATTCAGCCACGCCATGTTACAAGTGATCAACGACGCGCCGTCATGGAAAAGCAGTGTGATCGTCTCCCCATCTGTAGCTGAGGAGCTCAACTTCTGGCGCGAAGAGTTTGATCGGTTTAACGGTGCACCATTCCACGTCCGAAACAGTTACGACGCTGTAATCCATGTGGACGCCAGCTCTCACGGTTGGGGCGCCACCCTGACCACGTTCCCGGGCGGCCTCGAAGAAGCTAGTGCAACCATGCCAGAGCCGCTACGAGCAACGTCCAGCACGAGACGGGAGATTGAAGGCGTCTTTTGGGCAATCCAAACGTATGCCAACAAGATCCAGAAAAAACACGTTCTCGTGCGGGTGGACAACCAAGGTGTATTCTTCATCCTTCGCAAAGGCGGCTCTCGCAGCCCCGACCTCACCATGGCCTGCAAGGGCATCATACGAACATGCATGGAGCTCGGCACGCGCTTAATCATCGAATGGATTCCCCGCGAACTCAACTCACACGCTGACGAGCTTTCCAAAATAGTCGATCACGACGACTACTCGTTGAAGACGCCATGGTTCCGCATCTTGGAACGTCGTTGGGGTCCCCATTCCATCGACCTTTTTGCAAACTCCCGCAACACCCAGCTATCGCGCTTCTGCACAATGATCCCTCACCCAGACGCCTTCGCAATTGATGCATTTTCGCTCGCATGGACAGGCGAAAATGGTTTCGCGTTCCCCCCGCCCCAATTGGTCCCCGCCGTCCTCCACCACGCACAACGCACCCACGCATCACTCACACTGATAGTTCCGCACTGGCCGGGCACAAGCTGGTGGCCACTACTACAACCCTCCCCATGCACGTGGGCGTCACACATCCATGCACACATCCCTCTGACACACGGAAGCCAATGCTTAGCTGCAGGGACACATTCCACTGCCTTCTCAGGCTCAGGATTACCGCACAGCCCAATCATAGCACTCCGAGTGGTATTTGACTAATTCATAACTTCTCCCTTGTGTTCAGAATTGCTCCCAAAGCTACACGACCAGCTGATTAACATGATCGCACAGTCTCGTGCAAACTCGACGATCCGGACATACGAACC